GTTAATTGGACTTATCAAAAATATTCACGATTGCGATGTGATTAGGTATTTTATACTACATTGATTAAATATAAGAAGCAAGAGCGAAGTTGAAAAAAAAAAGGCAGCAGCAATCGGATGGAGATCGTATCTCCGCGCGCGCGCTCATGAGAATTTAAATTCTTTAAGCTCGCCGAGTAGAGAGAGAGAGAGAGAGAGAGAGAGAGAGAGAGAGAGAGGCTGTTTACACGAGCTTAGTGGAATGCAAAGAGATACTGAGAAATATTCAAGTAGTGGTTAAACATCGATTACTGTGGGAAAAAGTTGTAATCCACCGCATGATTTCGCATGAACGTTTTCAATTTTTTTCTTTTTTAAGAATTTCTGCGCGTTATTCTGCGTTTTCAAGATTCAACGTTACATGTTGTATTGTATATATTATGTGAAAATTAAAATCACGAACGAGAGGAACGTGATGAGACAATAATGTGCTTTTCTGATTATTTTTTTTTTTGCGAAAAAAGCAAGTTTATTAAAAAGAAAAAAGGTATCGTGCCATTTTTCACGGATAAAACACATTTCTCTCTCTCTCTCTCTGCTCCGTCCATGACAACTTCTCGCTAATTTGAATTTCGACGAGCAAGCGAGACAGAGACCTTTACCTATCCCTCGAAATTCGTTATACCAATCGTAATCTCATTGTGTGCTGCAGCGCTGAGCCGAGCTCCTCTCTCTCTCTCTACATACATATACTACACAGAACTACTACACAAGCGGGGCATTTGTAGCAGAGCAGAGCAGGGCAGATCGCATTGACAGTCGATTGGTAGTAGGCACATACAGATCGCTAATTCAATTCATTCGATCCTGTAACACGGTCGATTTGTACTTCGGACCTTTTCTTTTCTCGCTCGCTCCGGCTCGGCAACGGCGCGCGAGAAAAACTAATACTAGGCCCGTCGTACAGCGGCGTGGCGCGCGCGCGCGAGCACCAGTAAGGGCGTGACAGCTCTACGTATATAAGGGGAATTTGTGCGGGTGGCACGTGCCGACGTTTTTCAGAGCCCAGCGTTATATTGTACGTATCCGTAAAGAGAAAAGCAGCTTTTGCCATCTCTCTCTCTCTTTCTCTCTTGAAATCGATGTCGCAGCAGACATAACTAACTATATAGACGCGTATAAGCAGAGGGAAAAAATTTTCGTCACGCCAATGTCTGTGCGCTATTTATCATATCAATTTACAATTGACGAGTGAAATGCGGGTCAACCGCATGCTGCGCTCGCAGACTTACTCGCGCGAGCAGATGCACGGACGACGACCGATTGCCCCCGGAACCCTATAATATAAATTATTTATAAATCGCTTCGATGCAGCAGCAGCAGCAGCATGTGGACCGTTGCTGCGGATTAACTCGATTTCGTTTTGAAACCTTGGCCTGCGAATCTCTATTGTGTGAATTATATATCACAAGAAAAGTCTTCGATACACGCTTCGGCATAGTGGGTATTAGAAAAATGATCGCGTCGAAAAATTTCCCGTTCGAATGTGCGGGCTCCTCTATACGTGCGAAGGGACACGACAGTGGGAATGCAATTAACTCTCTCTCTTTCTCGAGGGCTGGCAAAAGGAAAATTGAATAGAAATCAAATGAAAATTATTTCTTGCGATCTATACGCGCGCGTCGTCGTTAAAAGACGTCTAATTGATAAAACTTTTGGGCCGAGCTCCGAAAAGTTGAACGCGCGTGTCCAAGTTCGCGTGTCAGATAGTCATAGATTTGAAGCTGGCGCGGCAAGGTATGAAGAAAAAGGGCTGATGCCGCCGAGAGAGGAAGAGAGACCAGCGGCAGCTTGCAAGAAAGAAAACGTTCAACTATTCGTTTGTCGAGTTATTCTACGGTGCCGAGAGATCGTGCCTTAGAAGACGGTTCGCAGGCGAGGATAATTCGACCAATTTATTTTTGATTTATCGAGTTTACTTCAATCATTTCGTTTTTGTTTTTCCTCGTTTTCGTCGATACAGAGGGGGCGGGCAGCACGCAAAACTCGGCTTACGGATTTTCCGATTTCCTTACCTCGACGTACGGAATTCGAATTTTAACGCGTCCATCTTTGGGTAGGGTCCCAAGCGTCTGGTTACGCACTTGCACGTCGTCGCACCTGAGAAGGATATTAATTTATTCATGGCACAAAAGCTCGTGTACGTTTGTATAACGAAATGCCGTCCGCGGGACGACGCGTCTCGTGTGTACATGTGCATATCGAGCGCGCGAATAGATACATACAACACGAGGCAGCAGCATATACACTCGAAACTTATAACTCACCCTCGCGCGCACGGTACAGTACAGTACAGAGAGTCGGAGAGAGAGAGACGACGACCGGGCATATATAATAGTGAGTCTCACGCTCGGAAATTCCCATGCGCCCCCTCGACCTTGCTCCTCACTCTCTGGCCATTGTTGTGCTACTTATATACGTTATGTGTGTGTGTATGTGCAAGTATACGTGATATGTTGTGTCTAAAACATAGGACACCGTAGAGAGTGAGAGAAGATGGTCTCGCCAGTGCTGCAGCAGCAGCACAGACACAACATATCGCACACGCGGGACTCTCCGCCGAGTGAACTCGGCTCCGTCAGTTCGCACGCGGCACAAGCATATATCGCAGCGGCACATCCATGTATAAGCAGTGCTTCGCGCAGTTATAATAATACAACCGAGACGCGCAAACGACGACTCGTCTCGCGTTCTGTCTCGTTTTGATAAGTTCGGTGCATTATGTGTAACCTCGTGGAAAATAGACGCGAAAAAATTTGACACACTTGTTTATACATCATTCTCTATCTATACGTGGAGGAGGCGCGACTACTATACAAACGATCAAACTTTCGCAGCTAATTTACACGCGCGAGTATAAACGCACACACACAACACACCCTTTTATGAGCTCTCTCGAGCGTTGGACAGTATTTACGATTATTCTCGCCAGCAGCAGCAGCGTGGCGTGGCGTGGCGCGTGCGTGCGCGATAGTCCTGCGTATGCATACAAGCGCGAGAGGGATAATATAGGTCGCTCTGTTGCTCGCCGCGCGGGAGCGAGTTAGCGCGCGCTGGTTTGTGTGTGTATATGTACAAACACTACCGGGAAAGGACGACGACGACGGCGACGATCCAAGCTAGTTCTCTCTCGTATACGTGTCGGGGAAATTGCAAAACTCCATCAAACTTTGCCGTGTGTGTAGAGTGTGCATCCTGTGCTCGCGGAGAGAGTGAGAGAGAGAGAGGGAGCGAGCAAGAGTGAGGCCCAACTTTAGCAGCTCTCTTTATGCGTTTTATATATAAACGTGTGGCTCGCGTTGTTTATTTCGGGTATATACGAGCAGTAATTATTTCCATCCAATTGTTTCGTTGGAAACCTACGAGGCACTCTACTACTATGCTGTATATAATCCATCTCTCTTCTCGCTCGCTCGCTCACCCCCCTTTACGGTCCGATGTATTATAGTGGTCGAACGAGAGAAGCGTTTCTCGGGTTACTCTCTCTCTCTCTCTCTCTCTCTGTCTCTCTCGATCGAAAACGACGTTAAATTGCGGAACAAGGACGAATATGTGCGCATCGATTCTGTCTTATATACACAAACACACCGACATAGTACTCGAGATAGAAAGAGACATTTTGATGCATAGTGTACACTACGCTACCCTTCGGTATTGGTGCGCGGGGAAAGCTTCTCTCTCACTGGTCTATAACCAGCTTGCAAGTGCAGGCAGTAGCAGCGGCAATTGCACTATCCATTTCCTTGCCCTCGTGCTGCTGCTGCTGCTGCTACTACCGCTTCTAGCCTGCACTGTTCCTCCTTATATATATCTATCGAATACGTAAGCACCGGAGGCAGCTCTCGATAGATATATACCTATATAACAAGAGTTGGTGTGCTACTTTAACACGATCTATCGATCTCTCTAAGGTTTCTTGTCCGGAGCGGATACTTTTCTTCATATATAACTTTTATCATATACTCGTCGGGTTATAAAGAGAAGACTGCCTTACCCGAGTTCTCTGGATTATATTCCGTGCGTCTGCCGAAAATTCCGCGTTCCGCTCCATACGTTGATTCGCTGTACGCTCGATAAGTCAATCGGTATGAAAGCAATCGTTTGGTTTTTCCTCATCCTCCCTACATTCGTCCTGAGAGAAAAATACCGACGATACGCAACTTGAAAAAGTACACGCTTGGCGCTTATCTGATATTGCCATCTGTATAAATAATATGCAGATATAATGTGTTTATACGAATCCATTCCATTGCCTCGGCGTGTGCACCGAGAGACAGAGCGGTGGCAGCAGACATATCTCGGTGCGCTATGTAACGTGCGCATATAGCAGCAGCCCGTGCTGTATATATATATATATATATATAAGTACACCGACACTACTAACTTCTCCTCTCGTCGCAATTCTCGCGGCCATGTTTGCGCGGGCGCAGTGGGCGTGGTTCCCTAAACCCCTTCTCTTACTCTCAAACACACACACACACACACACATCGTATACTCGTGCACGTATAGGTGTGCTCCGTTCTCTCTTAATACACACACACATACATACATTCGCACGCGAAAATCCGTGTGATATATATTATAACGTGTACGAGTCAAGCGCGCGCAAGCTTCGAAATATCGGTGTGTATGGGACACACGGACGCGCATTTGCACGTATATGATGATGCACATTTGCGCGCTCGTTCGTGTGAGAGAGAGAGAAGAGTAGAGCCGGTAGTTTTACTCGCGATGGTAAATACATGTATGCGAATTTTATGAGGAAAGCGTGAGCTCCGAACTATTATACTTTCGAAGGAAATTCGAGTGTTTTGTGGCAGTAGAATGAACGAGCTGCAAATCGCGATTAATTTTATTAAAGCCTTTGGAGCTCTGGTTAATCGATCGTAATTGACCTTTCGATTTTGATTGCCCACTTGGTGACCTTTATCTTAATCGTCGTCTTTTCTTCTTTTTACAGACAAGCAGTTGGTAAACTCTTGCTCGATTACTACCAAAATGCCGATAAAATTGGTCAGGTGGTCACCCCGGAGGAAATGTTCCAGCCGCTGGAGCACATCGTCAACGATCCTGGTAAGTTTTCTAATGACTTCACGTACATAAATCTACGAACGATTGAGTAATGATAGTTCTGGTATAATGTTTCCGCACCTAGATAGATTACCTTTTAGTATTGCACATTTTTCCCGTTTTCGCTTCAAAAAAAAAAAAAGCTCACAGTACCACGAGTTTTCAAAATGGTACGAGCGTTTGTCATATCGTGGATTTGGAAATGTTAACTAGAATCGTCCAAATCCACGTTTAAATTATCAAGCTCAATTATATCAAGCGTACAATTCTAAATCATAGAACATGATAAATTATGAGCATGCTTTTCATCTGGGTTAATATTGTACAGAGAAAAAACAGTAATATTTTCTTTTAAAATCTTCTAACACAATTGGCTATTGCAAAATTTTGCCTCTGACCCAAAAAACTCTTTATTCCTTGACGTAGTTCGTTGAGCAGAGAGTAGCAAGAGAAAAAAAAATTATACTCTCCGCACAGTAGCTTGCAAAAAAGAGATATAATCGGTCCGGTTCAATTAGCATAAACGAAAACTACATCGTTTTATCGCGCACCGAGATCTAAAAATTTCGTTTGCTGCTAATTCACTCGCTCGGCTCGAATTTTCAACCGACAAAATGGATATTTCAGTCGAAAAAAAAAACGGAAATATTTTCTTTCGACTTCGAAATAATATAATCAAAAATACTCCTTCGTGAGAAAAGAGCGCGGCAGTAGCAGCAGCAGCGACGCGCGAGTTTCGTTTTCACAGGCTAACCCTCCGGAGAAAAATAAATGTTTCATTCGTGTTTTTCGAGGGATAATGTATATAAATATCACTTGGACGCGAGGCCCTCTCCTCTCTCTCTACTCTTACTGCCTTGCTGGCATTGCGTGTTCGTGTGCGTGCATATACGCGAAGGAATGGAAAAAAAAGAAGGATGCGGAGCCGAGTAGTGTGCGTAACGCGACGTAGTAGTATAGTCGTAGTACTCGCGGTCGTAGTTGTATTAAAAGTGCTCCTCTTCGGTAGTAGTAGCTGTAGTATAGTAAGCAGTCGTAGTATTTTATATATATACACCCGAGCGCGCGCTGCACTTCCGTCGAGCCACGTGTGCCGGAAACGCGCACTTTGGCTTCTTCTTCTTCTACTTCGCGCGCGCAGCCGGAGCAACGCTTCTTCTGCTGCTGTTGCTGCTGTATAACGCGAAGTTTATTTTGTTTTCGTGTATAGCCACTTTTCGAGGGCCTCGTGGAAATCCTTTTCCGTGCTATAAATTCGAGTGTCGCTCATATGGGATTCGATTCCCCCGTAATCAACCTCCTCCACGAATCATCAAAGTTTTCATTATCGTCGTAATAGCCAAACAGTTGTGTGAATTCACTCGTTTATTAATTGCTGCGTTGGCATCGCGAAGCTTTGGACACAATTAGGATCTTCGGACAAAGGCCAAAGTCAAATAAACAGTTCGACAATGAGAGAGATCCGAATTATCTCGTCTGCGTCTACTCTAAATTGTTGTAGAAAGTGTACCAAAGATATAACCTTATCTAATTCTCTTCATTTTCTCTCCCTTTTATCTAACGTTCTCGTTTTATCACGCGTTCGCCCGTTGTATAAACAAATCTATCGATCATCGATAGTGAAGATTGATAAAAAAATAATCCATGAGAAAAATCGTCGGCGAGCCGCAAAAAACTGCCCTCGAAAACGTAGACACACGTCTATACCTTGTACGGTCGCGTAGTAGCAAAGCCCACAAGCTCATTAACTGCACACGGAGAAGAAGAGAGTAAGATGGAGCACAGCAGCGAAAAAGAAAGTGTCGAAACGAACCCTTACGTTCGTCGCACGGCTGGTGGGTCGTTGCACTCGTTCTTTCTTCTTCATCGTCTTCTTCTTCTTCTTCTTTTCTTAGATATCGCGTCGTTGTCGTTGGCGCATAGTAAGGAGAGAGAGAGAGAGAGAGGGAGAGGGATATGAGCTGCGACGACCAAAAAGCAACATAGAAATACGACGACGACGATGGCATGAAGCTTGCGTGCGTACAGCGTGTGTATATTTAAACGCATCTGCGAATGTCTCAAGACCCCCCGCGCACGTGTGCGAAAAGCGCGAAGAGTACACGACCGAGAGAGAGAGAGGATTAACTGATTTATTTATTTTTGTTTATATTATTTACCCTCTTTACTTGGACGCGAAAGACGAATCTTCTCTCTCTCTTTCTGCACTGTGTTGCGATACGAAGCTTGTTAGCGACAGATCTCAGGGGTCGAACAAGGGACCACTACCGCTACTCGATCGACACGTTTTCCCGACGTTTAGAGTTTTTGTTTTGTTTATTTCTAAATACGTCGGTGTATTTTAGTACCAACGAACACTTTGAGTATAGAGAGAGCCGTATAAGGCTATGGAGGTGTCGGATGAGCTCTCTACCCGCTGTGCTCACGTTGCAAACAGAGATTATTCATTTTGATAATTACCGAAGATCGTAATGGACGTTTCTATAATAAACATGCTTTTAGGCCAAAGCCAGAGCCGAGCGGAGAGCTGCAAATTGCGTATCGGACATTTTGACGCGCCAGAGAGAGAAACGTCGTCGTCGTCGTTCCGATTCATACCCCGGAATTGCTATTACAATTTTCATTCGCAGCAGCAAACCCCGCGTGCATTGAAATCGGTGTCGAGCACCCTCGATAACTCGCCCCGCGCAATAGAAACCGCGTGTCGCGCGTTCATACATCGGTTGAAATTATGTAAAGCTCTGCTGCTGCGCGACCTGCATCCGTCGTTTCTCTCTCTCTCTCTCTCTCTCTATTTGCATCTATCGTTTTCGAGGAAAATTGAATAGTTTTTAAAGTCACCACCGCGCGTATCGCTATCCCAGAGAGTTCTCGTGTAATCATCGTTCATTTGTGCGCGTGTGAAAATAAAATGTCCCGCGACTAGTACACATCCGCTGCTCGCTGTCGATCGTGTTTATTTTTAAAGATTAAATTGATCCGAAAGACTTTTTCTCTCACCGGTCCTAGGAACGCGTACACCCTTCTCATTTTTATATTTATAGACGTGTTTCATTGCCGCCGTCGATGCAGCACGCGTCTCGTAAACACTCTCTTGTGAGACTCGCGTATAAGCGCCAAAAAGTCTGACAGTCACTGAGAATATTGATCGTTTATTGTGAATAATACCAATATCCATTCGTGATACACGATTTAATATCGTGTCTCGGTATAGTGTTCAACGGATATGGGGATAGGTCAATGTTTCTCTTCGACGAGTTCGCGTTCACGCGCGCGTGTGTGTGTAGTACGCGAGTACTACAAAATTATGTAGTATTTTTGGACGACTTCCGGCCTTTACTCGCGCGCGAATATATACAACTCGACGTACGTTACTACTACGCTGCTTTACTACTACACGATGTAATACGGCGTAGTAAAGTCGTAGTAGAAGAAAAGAAGGCGGCGTCGTTGTTGCTGTTATTTAACTCTGCTGGATTATGACTCGGGAAAGCGGAAACAATATAGATAGTCGCCAATACTATACGATACATTAACGCCATTGCTTTCTCTCTCTCTCTCTCTCTTTCTGTCCGTCTGTCTCGTTTTGCGAGAAGAGTCAGCGCGCAATGACGAATGTTTTTATCGCAAAGACTCTACTTGGGCTTCATTGAACCCATGCGTCGCGAGCGAACTCGGGTGTTTATAAAATGAAGCGAAGGGGGGGGGNNNGGGGGGGGGGGGGGAGAAGAAGAAGAAGAAAAAGAGTCGTTAGAAAAGTCATCGTCGCATCACTACTACCGTGGCCGGGCGTCAACGAGACAGCCAAGGTATTTCCTTTCGAGCGATTCGGGATATCCGGCTGCTGCTGCTGCCGCCGCCGCTGTTGCTGAGGCTCCGGGTCCCAATTCAAACTATTTTCGGCAGCCTGATAAAATATATAACGAGTAATGTGAACTTCGGTATCGGTGGTCCCACGCGCGCACGCACGCGCGGTCTTTTCTCGAAAAAAATTATGTTTTGACGCGCTCGTTTCCTACTAATACTCGACGAATATATTTATACGTTTTACGGTGTATTTTCCGGACATTTCAGACGGATATAAATGGTAAAAGATGTACGCACGCATTTCCTGACTACGTGTAATGTATATAGCTCTCTCGAGTGCGCAGTTCCACGCACATACGGGCGTACGTGTGTGTGTGTGGAAGAATTTTCGGGGAAGAGGCTCGCCGCGCCACGAACGAGCACGCATGCAGTCGAACTGTATAATAATTGCTTTGATAAAGTATATATAGGGAGGGAGAGAAAAAAAAAGCAGCAGCTGAACAATTGCACCTTTTTTCGCGCCCCTTCATATATGTCTGGCTCTGGCGCTCTCTCTCCCTCTTTCTCGCTCGCTCTCTTGAGTTTTTAATACAGTAAATTCTCTGTTGTGACGGCGGCAGCGCAGCGGAGCAGAGATGCGTTTTTTTAGGGTACTTCTTAATCATATACGCGCAGCGCTGCTACCCGGTTTGAATACTCGAATTAACGTTTCCTGTTGACAATGCAAATTTTTCACGGAACCTTAACAATAACGCGATGCGTGCAGGATTTTCTTCGCATTATAAAGCTTCTTTGTTTTCACAAACTGCAAAATATCGTAATTTGTTGGAGCGTGGAACGCAATCCGATGGATTTTTACGTTTTTTTCCATAATTTATTCCGCAATTACTTTGTTGATGCATCGTATGTGCGTATGTGTGTGTATCTGGTTTCTGGAAAAATTTCTCGTTCACTGTGCTTTTCCTCAAAATATCAATACTGAATAAATATTAAGAATGATTATGCGGTTTTGTCCACGACATTTAATACATCGAAAAACTACGAAACTAGACTCCATCTGTTCCTTGCGAGATAAATTTACAAAATCAACAACTATTTTCGAAAATATTTGTTCCTGCGCGTCTGTTCCTATACTGTATACAAGCTAACCCTGCGCCACGCTCGGCTACATTTGTGCGTTATATATATAGCACATAGCATAGCGAGCACGGATAAAAGTCGCAGCGACACCCTACATCAATTCAAAGAAAAAAAAGGAGCGAAGGGGGGGGGGATAACCATTTATCTATGTTTGCTTTCGCGTATGCGTGTACGAGCCTGTCCGTGTGCGTATGTGCGCGTGGCGCGTGCCGGCTGTCTCCTTCTCCCCTAACTTTCTCTCTCTTTCTTTTTCTCTCTCTCTCTCAATATATTTCCAGTTTCATCGTCTTCCGTACATTATATTATAACCCCGTTGTATTATAATTCGCGCGCGTGTGTGTACGTAATACAATTTATGCTTTCGCCGGACTAATGAAGCATCCGTTTGTGCGCGCGATTGTACCGTTCCTTTGTTTTTAATTCGAGCATCGATTATGACGAGCCGATGAGTACTCTCTCATACTGGTTCGCATTCCTCATCGAGCAATGCTCTTGAAACTGACCACGAAAACAGCAGCGTATCATTCGATAGAGAGAGAGACTTATGTGTACCGAGAGGTCAGTCACCGTCGTGTTCTCTCGATTAACATAATATGTGTATGAAAATGCCGCGCGACCAATCAGAGTGGCAGCTCGATTTCCATTTCTTGAATCTTCCGTATACTCGTGTGTTATTATTATACACGTTGCGCCTAGATACAATTCGGTATTTATCGCGAGCGACTTACAAGAGGCCACCGCCGCCGCCGCGGCGCGCGCACGCACACCCAGCCAATAGCGTGGGACGTGACACGCCAATGAAAAGTCGCTCGCTCTCATTATATTTTATCCCAATTCATATGTACACATATATCCAAACGGGAGAGAATAGTAGATCGAAGGAGGAGGAGGAGGAGGAGATAATGCGTAATGTGTATAACGCTGTGTGCTGCGTCGGTGTGTGTGTGGAGGGGGAGGAGACGCCGCGACGTCGTCGGACTAGACCCCGAAAACAGATTCTCGCATTTTCCAAAACGCGCCGCGGACGCGGTGTTGGCGGCCCGTGGTATATATATCGGCGCGGGCGCTGCGCGACTTCCCATTCACGCTTGTCAGCCGAGTCCAGGCAGAGCTGCGGCGGCGTCTCGCGAGTCTCTTTTTCTCTCTCTCTCACTCGCTCACTTTTCACTGCTATACAGTCGTTGTAAATTTCGAAAGTAGTAGCAGTAGTAGCCGCGCAACGTGTGCGCCTCGAGCCGAGCGGTTAGTACACACAGAAGACTTGGAATAATCGTAAGCCCATCGTGTGTTATCTTATATATTGTCTATATAGCCGCTGATTTTGTTGAGTGATGAATCCCGAGGACGATTCGCAATATAACGAATTGCTCCAGCGGACCCTCGGATTGCGTTTGTTCGATCCGTTTTTCTCCGACGACGGTGTGTGTGTGTGTGTGTTTCCGTCTACGTGGATTTTTCAATCTTCGCATCGCATCGTTCACATCATCGTCTCGCATCAACGTTCATCATCATACGCGTTTCGTTCAATTGTACACGCGCGCGTGTGTGTGTACTCGTGCGCTTGTTGCTGCTCTGAACATCGTCGATCTTTTCACGAGGTTATCGAGAGTTTCTAATACACATAGATAACGTCCAATGCCCAAATATAGTCACGCCGAAAGTATTTTCTCTCTCTCTGTCTCTCTCTTTTGGCGTGTGCAACAGACGTGTCTATATCTCCGTCTATCTCTCTCTCGCACGGTCGAGACTCGTACAGACCGCGCACGGATGCGTAGCGGCGCCGCCGGCGGGCTACGCGCCGTGTGTACATGAATGGAAACACACACATTTTATATATTTACGGGACCCGATAGTAAACACTGAGAAACGAATTCTCACGCTCGCTCCTGCTCTCGGGTATTGGAGAAGATTAGACTCTCTCGTCTATCGTTCGCGAACTTTTTCTTTCTCCTCTCTCTTCACTTACCATTTCCTAGGACATTGTTGTAATTTGAAAAATATTTATTGCTCTCATGAAAAACTTGATTTAATTATTGTTTTTTTTTTTTTTTTTTACAGAAACTTCAGTGAGAACAGCGCTGGTAGAATGTCTTCCCCACATAGCCCAGTTGGCGCAGGAAAAGTCGTTCGACGGCGAACGAAATGCCGTCGTCAGTCGGGTGCTCAGCATCGTTCTGCAGTACCTAAAAGAGGAAGGATCGGTAAATATATTTTTTTTCCCCTCTATTTTCACCGATGAAATGCCGCGGCCGATGCGGCTAATTTACACCGAAATTCAGTTTACTTAACGGACTTAACGAACTCTATCTATCTACCCGGTCATGTTGCAGGTCAAACAAGATGCCCTGGGGGCGCTCAAAATGATGCTGGATCGCTTCGTTTTAACGCAGGAAGAAATCGAGAACGACGTGTGCAAGGCCATACTCGAGTTGGCGCGAAGCCAGAACTTCGAACAGCAGACCATGGCGGTCACCGTAAGTTGCACACCCATTACTTTTCTCTCTCTCTCTCTATCTCTCTGCGTTGCTGCTGCTACTGCTGCTATATATATTAATTAGAAAAGTTTATTATCGCGCGCCGCGCACACGTTTGGCGCCTTTGACAACGTTATTGTGGAAAATTCATGATTTTGCCCATCGTACACGTTGTATTTACAAATTACTAACAATTCCGAAAACATCTACAAGAGTGACGATTCTGCATGAAAGACATGGGTAGTGAGATGTTTATACCAACGGAGCACTCCCGTCTCACTACCTTGTCTTTCATGTGGCGTTTGAAACTTTGCGACTAACCACGTCTACCGTTTAATTGAACTTGAATCTTACCACGAAGAAAAAAGCACCGAAAAAAGGCAAGAAACGAGAGATGGGCGCAATTTTACCATCAAATCTGGTTTGTCATAGAGTCAAACTAGACTATCACAGCCAGCTTTGATGAGCAAAATTGTGTTCGATTGCAACGATGAGGACGCGTCGCATGAAGATAATTTTACGAAGATTATTGTTGCGGTCTGGCACATCAAATAGGTTGTGAAATGTTTTCACACGATTCCATATCACAGCCATTTTGATGCAGTTGGATCGTAATGTTCGACAACACGCAAAACGACGATCAACACACAACATCTGAAGAACCAAGAGCAGCCGTGTGCTTTTCAGTTAAAGCGCGATCCAATCGTCAAAAAGGCTGTGACATGTTGCATAAAGATTCATATCACAGCCATTTTTAACGAGATGGAACGTAGCTTCCGGCCGACCGATATTCGAAGGAGAAAAAAAATGAAGATGATTAAAACAAAATGAGATGTCTCAATTTTCATAAATGTGTATACCATTTATTTAAAAGGGGATCTAAAGGTCAGCCTAGAATAACGGGTATGCACACTTATAAAAATTGAGTAAAGGGAGAAAAAATTCAATGTAAATATGAGAAACTAAGATCACGTCGCTCACAAAGTGACTGTTGGTATGTCGTCATATCTCATATCACAGCCAGCTTTGTTGAGCGGGGGGTATCTTTCCTAGTCGACGCTGTGCAGGATGAATCGTAACTACAAATTTTTCAAGTTTAGAAATAATTATTGAACCAATCGAATGTAAAACTTCAATAGCTGTAAGCTTCGTAATTTTTGAAAATATTTATTTTTTTCAATTTTAACGATGACAAGAGATGAATTCAACTATTTTGCGCATCAAAGTGGTTGTGATGTGGTGCCATTTCATACGCATATCACAGCCAGCTTTGATGTGTGGGATAGATTGACACTTACTACATCTAGACAATCGTTTGTTTGAAATTATTTGTATAAATTCACCGTTCTGAATAATTTGTTAGTCACCGTTTTTAAATCTATATCATTTTTTAAAGCATGAAAAACTATAAAACTAATGAAAAACATTTTTTTTTTGTTAAAGCTTATGACAAAACTTGGAGTGCATGTGCCCCATGAGACAATAGAAAAATTATTTTTGGACCCATTCATTGAACTATGCTCCAGTGACCAGCTGTATGTCAGAAGAGTATGCGCTTCAATTATGGGAGATTTCTGCACCATGATGTCTGAAGATGCTATTTACAACAAACTTGTGAGTATAATTTAACGAAGCACGATTGAAACATAAAAGCGAAAGAACAAATTCATCATGAATGATTATTATTTATACAGCTACAAACTTATGCAAACCTGTGCATGGATTCCATGTGGGACGTCCGAAAGACGACCGCAAGTGTTATGATGTCGGTTGCCAAATGTGTGCCACTGACAATGAGGAGATTATTGCTAGCAAAATTGCTTGTAAAGCATTTACGAGATGAGTCGCGCTGGGTTCGCAAATCTGCCTTCGAAATACTGGGACCGTTCATAGCCACGTTCGCCAAGCAATTTTATGAGCTTATCAATGGACCCAAGGACGAGCTTCTGCTTGTCTATGAAAATCAGCGGGATGGTCAGAGCTTTGATGTGGTACCAGTTGCCAAAATCTCCGACATTTTGACGGAAAATCTATCTGACAAGCGAACGCTCGATGATTTAATTAAATATCACCACCTTAGATCCAACGATAATAACACAAAGGTTGGTATTTGACGAAAAATGGATATGATGAGAATTTTGTACTTTCAATTCTTACATTCTTTTCAATATCGTTACAGGGGCGCAGAAAGCGAGCCAAAGAACAAAAACTCGATGAAATGTGCATAGAATTGCGCCAGGCCTTTTTCTCTCAAGATCAAAAGTTTTGTAAAGATGAATATGAAAACTTCAATCTATTTCAATATTACTATGATCCCCCAGACATGCCATTAGATCCTGAACTCGTCAACTCTATAATCAATGATAATGACGCTCCCGATGTTAATAACCCCCCTCCTGTAAATGATACCGAGAAAGAAAATCGTCTCGATGAAAATGATGTAAAAAATGCTAATAATGAGGATAATCAACAAATTCAATTGGATGATAATAAAAATACTGAAATCAGTCAACCCGTTGAAAAAGACGATAAACAATATGATAATAATTTTAACAACGAGCAGCAGTTACAAGAGCAAGATAGCAATGATAACAGCGATAGTAATGATAGCAATGATAGCAATGATAACAACGATAATAATGATAATGATAATAACAGCGATAATGGTGACGAGGATGTCAAGGTAGACCAAAATGAATCTGAAGATGGATTTGAATTCTCGAAAAACGAGGACTATCTTTCTGATGAAGATGACTACGGTGATAATGATGATAGAGATGATAACAAAAGTAGGAAACTAATTCGACGGTATAGGGTTCGCGCTGTGCGTAAAGAACTTAACAGATCCCTTGATACAACTGTAAATATAATGGACACATCACTAGAGCAAAACTCGACATTTAATGTGAGTAGTAGTTCCGGTGGTGTATCGGGTCTTCAAGCTCTCGAAGATGATCTAGTGTTTGATGACGATGAAATTGTACCGCGTATTTTGGTCGACTACTTTATCTCGATGGCTGAGTTACCATTAAATGACAACGAGCTCGGAGGTGATCTTGATTATCACTGTGCTTTCAGTTTTCCCGCGGTTGTTTTAACGCTGGGTAAGGATAACTGGCATCGATTGAAAGATGCGTACCAGCGATTGGCAGGCGCTGTTGCGTGGAAAGTACGAAGTACGCTCGCCTCGAGCATACACGAAATCGCTCGCATCATCGGAAAAGAGCTGTCGGCTCGCGATCTTGTTCCTATTTATAACGACTTCATCAATGATCTTGACGAAGTCAGAATAGGTGCTCTCAAACACTTGTCTACATTTTTGGAAATACTCAGCCCGCAAGATCGCATGCAATATCTGCCTAAACTGAATGACTTCCTCATTACCGATAGCAAATGGAACTGGAGGCTTCGCGAAGAACTTGTGAAGCAGCTTGCGAAAATCATTGAACTCTACCAGCCAAAAGACGTGGCACAATACATATCGCCCCTATTAATGCATCTACTGCAAGACCGGGTTGCATCTGTAAGACTAGAAGCTCTTAATGCTATGTCGTTGATGATCAAATTTTTGTCGGGACCCTCAGAAAATCTTGCTCTTGCACTGATTCGAGAAATGAGAGATTTACTCGTCCGTCAGTCTGCTGAGCGTTGGATTATCCGACAGACTTATGCATTAATATGTTCAAAGCTTATTACCAATGGAAATGTTAAGGGTGATATCTTTGCAAGAGAGCTACTACCTTATCTCCTGTACTTGGCCAATGATCGGGTACCGAACGTGCGACTTGTCGTCGCCAGAACTCTTGTTAAGGATGTTATTTTGCTTCGTAAGTTTCTTTACATTTTTTTCATTCTAAACACACTCAAGCAAGTGATTAATTATAATTTATATTTTTATAGCTCACTTTTCTTGTCCTTCGAATAATGATGATGAAGGACAAAAGGTTTATGAAAAGTTGAAGATGATGCAATTAGATGCCGACAGAGACGTACGAATTTTCGCAAATCAGTTAGATTGGACGGTGAAAAATTCAACAAATTCTGAAGCAAGAACATGAAAAAAGTAATTGATATTGTTAACGGCGTATCATAGATCATCGATTTTTTTAATATTAACATCTGATTATGTACAGAAGTCTGTGTAACATATATACTATGAAAAGCGATAAATTATTGATGATTTTGATAAATTAAAACTACTTCTATAATATTTTTGAGATTCATGTATGTGCTTTTGTGCAGCAATTTTTTTTAATTTGTTTGGATTTTCTTATTTTGTAAAATAAAGTGATTTGTTTTCTATGTGAGATTGAATTTTAGTGAGAAAGGAATTTTACCTGTTGCCAACGTTTTAATGCAAATTGTGAACACTGAATTCTATCTTTAAACTTTCTAGTTCAAAGTAAATCACTGCTGATTTTTATTGCAAAATTATTACAATCGAAGATGGCGGTATTAATTGTATGAATGCATGGTAATGACTGTGGCTACGTGTAATATTTTTTTATTATCAATTTGTACTATCGATAATTAAATGATATGTAAGAAACTATTATAATTATCAAGAAAACTTTATTCAAATTACCATTTAAAATGGGAGTTTTACCGAAAATAAATCTTTCACTCATTAAACAATGCCACTAGTGAAGTACTGAAGTTTTTTATGATATTTTATCAAGCCATTGTTTTTTTCAACAATCATTGATTAATGATAGATGTAGACTGGAGTACCGAACTAAGAAAAGTATTTTTGACGTATTTAATTATACTGCCGTTTTAGTATACTAGATTCTGCTGATCAATTTCTTGTACAAGAAAATGGGAATGATTGTATCAAATTCAAAAATGAAATTAAACAATATATTCATAAAAATTGATATTTTTAAAGATCTCAAGTCATTGATACCTGATTTGCTTGAAAACTATAAAGTTATGTAATCAAATTGAGAATGAAACTGATTTTTTAAGATTATAAGCTGTATATATAAATTGTACAGTATAAGAAGATAACTGAAAAAATAACGAGAGTTCAATTATTGAAAACTGAAACATAAGAATTCTTTTTGCAAACTTTTATTGAAAAAACGATTTGTTTACTTAAAAATATCGCCGAAGATCGATTTCTTTTCCAATATAAAATTGTAAAAAGAAATTATTCTTTTTCAAGCGAAATATCACAGAATGTACATGCTTTTTGTGTAACTGCAAAATGATTTTTAAATTTTACTCAAAATATATTCTGAATTCAATCATTTTCGTAAAGTTTTGCATTTTATTCAATACCACTTCAGTAAATTTTTTGCGCGTTTGAAAGAATTCACTTTGAACATTTCTAGTATTGGTTTAAGACAATTTTCACCACTCGCTCAAAAGACTGTTTGCTATATTTTTAGTTTTTCTAAATTTAGAGTATCCGACAATCCGCTAAGGAAATATCCGTGTCACTCAATACAATAAATAATTCCGAATTATTTCCGTATATCCGTCGCGTCACGGTAAAAAAATCTCTAGCAATTATCAAAAAGTCAACTGCGTATATATTTTTAAAAATAAAAGTACAATATTAAAATACAGTCTAGTACAAACTTAAAGGCTACCTATATAAAATAATTACCAGGTAATATATAAAACAAAATGAGCGAACCGTGGGCAATCATCCACTTGTCCTGTTGGCCCCTCACATATAAATATAAATGATAAAAAACAACATTTTCATAAAATAGATCGTTTACAAATTGCTCAAATACGACACGCGACGACGCCTGCCGCTCCTCATCGTCGTCGGAAAAGTCCGAGAAACTTTTGCGGGCAGTCGGGCATCTGACACAGACGCTCCTCCGTGGCGAGGACGTGGCCCTCGTCCAGGCAGCCTCGGGTTCTCGTCTCGATCCCCCGGCCGCAGGTCACGCTGCAGGCCGTCCAGGACGTCCAGTTGGGATCCGAGCACGCCGGCGATTCCGTCGACGTCGTGACCACGCCGAGCTCCTCCTCCTCGTCTGTTGTTTCTGGTACAGGCTCGGTCGTGCTGCGTGTGCGCGATTTACACAAAAGTTTCAGAATGGAGTCTCGTTTCATGAAATTCGTTTCATAAGAAAATGTTGTTCATTTTTACCCCGACTCACTTTCGTCTGAAGACTGTTGGTTATCATTGCTATTGCCCGGATTATTTCCTATATTAGTCACTAGACCGTGTAAACTATCGACCTGCAATGAAATTCCCTTCGTCAAGTAATTCGAGTTCGACTCTTTTTTAAAAACCTTTACCTTTTGAATCAATTGCTGGAGAAGATCTATAACAACCTTTGCATCCTTATTACCATTAACATCATTATGATTATTGCTATGACCATTTCCCGACGTAGAAATGATAACCGTGTGCTTGGACGCCGCCGTTTTGCGGGCGTTCGCCAAGGCCGCATTGGATTTGACGCTTTTGACTTTTTCGCGCGCGCCACCCGTAGCGCACTTGTTCGTCTCCGTCAGCTTCGACAGGGGATTCATCCTCGTCGACGTCAGAGCCGCGTGTTTTTTTGGTTTCCCTTTGTGCCTCGTCTTCTCCTTGCCCTTGTGCTTCATCGCGACGTTGTGCTTCGACTTGTGCTTTTTCGGCTTCTTTTTCGGCTTCTTTCTCGCCTGCGCAACGGACGACGATCGCTTGACCGGCGCCGCCGCCGCAGCGTACGAACTCTCGTCCTCGAGAGCTGCTCCACTTCGTTCGGCGGACGATTTCGCCCCGTTGTCGTAGTAGCAGTCCCGGAGATTACCTTCCTCCGATCCTCCGCAGTTCACATCGTCGTACTGTTCCTCCTCTCGACGATCTCGCGATTTCACCTCCACCGGACTTTTCCATCTCTTCGAGGGTCTTGAGGATACAAATTGAACAATGAGTACAACGAAGATCTCCTTCACCCGAGCTGCTTCGACTCACGAGTTCAAGCGATCCGAGACCGCCTGCAGATCGGGATAAATGTCTTCGAGACGATTTCTCGTGTCCGCGGTCAATCGGTCGTCCAGAAACGTGCCGTCCTCCCGCAGCGACTCGCGCTCGAATTCCCTGGCCTCCTCGACCGCCGGATCCGTCTCGTCGGCGACGGACAAACGGCGAAGCAACCTGCGCGAGCTGTGCCGATCGCGACCATCCTTTATCAACAGACACATTCGCTTATTTTTATTCGAACTGTCGAGAGGGGCATATCGATTCGTAGTTTAACGAGGCATTTCTGGGAGGGGTTAAAGAAGATGTTGTTTACCATTGTCAGTGCTGACGATTTTTTGCGGCTCAAGGCTGCTGCTCTCGAGCGATCGATCCGTTTGACTCGGGCGCGAGGCTTGAACGACTCGGCCTCCGAGTCGTCGGCGTCTCGGTCGAGCGGATCCGGACCTCGCATGCTCGACAGCGTCTTTATCGTCGCGACGGCTCCTCTGCCAGCAGCTAATTTCGAAAAACGTTATCGTCGTTACACCACCACCTTGTGCTCCGATTTTTCGCGGGATAACCTCGAAAACTTACCGATCTCGCGGTCTCTTGCCGGAGGACCGACGGTAGTGGTAGCAGTGGAGGCGTTGGCAGCGGCGGTAAAGAGAAAACCAATAGTTTTGCGATTGTGCTCGATGTACTTTTCATCGAATCCGGACAGAGGCGCAATGAGACTTGCAATTACCATGGTGAAGATGAGCCAAGCAATTTGTCGTCGATGGCTAATCAGCATAACACTGAATCACGACCCAGCGACGACGACCCCCACATTTGTCCCGCATCGATGACAAATTTTTGCTTTCACACCCAATAATCGATGCGTAAATTTCTCGGGTATTTTTGTTCTTTGAATGTAAATCTCGCCTTTCGTTGGGGGGGTTAATCGCTGTACTTGCGCCAACAGGCAGAAACGACGGAACACCTTGACGTTGGTAACTTAAAAGAGTCGCGTGTTACATCTAATCGAAAGGGTTACTTTTTGTGCAATTGATTTAAAATTGGAGATTTTTCAAGGGAAAAATATTGCATCGTTGTGTGTAACGGATGGTGAGTTCCGGGGACGACGTTTGAATGAAAAAAACAAAGATACGAGTTTATGTATATATTTTTTAAAATATCGTTTAAAGATCGAATTTTAATAATTAATTAAATTCATGAGATTCAATGTACACATTAATTATTATTAGAATACAAATCTTAACGTTGCTTAGGATTAAACAGCTACATTTTTTTTTCATTTCATTTCATAATTTTTTTCATATTACTTTAAACGAAAAGTAAATCCTACGCAGAAATAACACAAACATTTAATGCTTTTTACTAAATTGATTGATTCGTTCAACAACGAAACGGAACAACAGCTTTCGAGCCACACATTGACGGAATCCGCGATTGCGAGGTTTTATTTCATTTATTTATTTATTTTCGTGATTATAAGTGCACGACCAGGTGGGTAGAGTAATGTGGCTTGTGGGTTAAAATGAATTTTTTTTTGCTTTGTGTTTTTTTTTTCGTCGGTGGTGGCGCACGTCAATTGGGCACGTTGGAGTCTTAGATTGATGGCTCGGTCTCTTCTCGTACATTTCCGCTACTCTCCTCGCTCAAATCGCATTTTGATCTGAAATAAATCAAGTTCACATTTGAAGTAAGGCGCCAAAGTTAAACAACTGAGATTTAACGGACAGATATGTAAGGATGAGAGAGATGGAAAAATAGATTTTATCTATTGCGTGATAAAGAATGAAAAAGCGGTAGAACACAGATGCCTAAAGTTGCTCCTAAAAATATAACGCATGAATCATTGAGAGGACTCGGATTGACAGAGAGATAAAAAAAAATAAATTAATGTTTGGATATGTGAGAATACACAAGCAAAAGTTTCACTGTGCCATTAAAAATTATTTTTGAAATAGTTTATTTTAGGTAAAATTTAATGGCATACGAAGACGGTGACGAAGTGTTTTGTACATTGATCTTGTTTTTAGAAAATGATGTTAGATTCAAAAAAATTGCTGTCCATCAACATCAATTTCACTTCTCGCAATTACGAGAGCAAACGTATCACGAATGACATCAAAAATTGTTGCCTTGCTCTAATATGGTACTTTAAAGAATATATATTATATATGTGCTTACAAAATTATTATTTATATGACGCTATTCATATATGGATATACCTATCGAAACGAATTTTCAATATGTGTTTACTAAACTACAATTGATAGTAAAACCTACTGTGGTGTGTCGATGTTGATTGTTTTTTACACACATAAATTACTTACGGCTATACAATGCTTTTTTTCAGGTATCTAGAAGAGTGGTTAAATCGACAAAATAAATTATCATCCACTTTGAGTTGACATTCGTTCGATCTTCTAATTCTACACGTATAAACATTTCAATTTCGCTTATTGTTACGGAAAATAGCCATCTATACAGTCAATAATGATGATTTTATACTACTTTATATAGGTATTATTTATACTTAGCAATTGCCGAAATTGAGTAGCGAGAAATAGTTATAGTTTCTTATTTTTCTTTTCAAAGTACATTTATCTATTTCTTAAGTATATTAAGTTATGTAAAATAATTTCTCTCAATTTTCTTTCAATTTATTTCTGACGATTTTGTAAATTTGTCATGGCCATTGTACTACGTCAAGTTTGTTCAATTTTCACTCCTGACGTTTTTACAAGTTCGATAAAGTATTCTTGTAAAGTTTTGGTGTATAGCTTACTCATTGGCCAATTATATGAAAATATGATATTTGTTACAAAATTGATCTTCTTTGTAGATTTTCAAAAAGAGTTAGTTCGACGTAAATTTCCAAAAAAAAATTCTGCTTTATCCTATAATGATTAGAGAGAAAGATAGGCACTTTTACTATGTTTCTGTATTGTGATTGGCTATTGTAGTTTTTGAAATGAATAATTTCGCGAATGGAACCTTGCCTAAATGTACAGCCAAGTAGTGTTAACTTAGGCTCGGTTACTAAAGATTAGTGAGCTTTTGTATGAATGATCTTTAACTGCTATATATTGGAACTTTTAGGTAGCACCGTGTATGAAATATTATTCAATTTTTTTCAACTGCATTCTACAATTAATGATTGGAAAGTACAGCGTATAATGGAAATGAAAGGTTGCATCACGATGTTCACGGAGTGACAATATTTAAAAAGTGTGAACGAGAAATGTGCTTTGAAAACATGTTTACGTGCGAAATCGGAATCACGTTTTCTTGTTGCTCAAGTATCAAAAGATAAAAATTCTTCTGGACTATACCCCAAAGTGAGCATCGAGCAACTTTCACTATCAATATCAATCCAAATAAATCAATAAAGTTAACGATAAAAAAGAAGACTGTTGTTAAACAGAACATTTTTTAACTTTCTCGCCACTCTATCAATAACATTCTAGCTTCCTACAATCGCGATGATTTGTCTTTAAGATTACATGTATGTACCCGCTTAAAGATTACTTTTTGCCACATGTTTATTTTATGCTTTTATGCAATTATTACTCATGGATCTACACAATTCAATCTTACTTTTTAAAAAGTTTTTAAAACTATTCTCAGTCTTCCAAACAACTTTAAACATTGCTTGAGGCAATATTTTCATGCTTTTCATAATTTTTATCGTAAAAAATTGTTCAACGAATTATGAAAATTTAGATGTGAACATAATACTCTAAATTATTAGAATCATATAAATCATTCGAATATGATTTTCAAACGTTCGACAGAGTTGGACTTTTCATCATTCACGTTCAGGAAATATAGACAGTATTTATATTTTAAAAGTAAATAGTTATAAAGCGATATATTATATCCAATCGTTCATTTTTATTTAAAAAGTCGATAACATACGAAAATGAAAAAAAATGTTTTCATTCTAATTAATTAGAGACGTACACGAAGATACTTCCATCGAAATGGCAAATTGATTAAATTGTTAAAAAGGTTGAGTTCATTTGCTTATACATTAGTTAAATATGGATAAAATCTAAAAACAAGTGCGTGGCACATTCAAACGTTAAAAAACGTCTTAATAAATTAATCTTTGAAAAAAAAGTAAAATTGATTTAATGTTGAAATGAATTCATCAACAATTCATGGTTCGTCAAGTAAATAAAATTTGATTTTTTTTCAATAGTGAGGTTTAATTATAAATGTGTATAATTAATATTAACATATTTTTTAAAAATTATTTTATAAAAGTACATTAATAAATAAGAGAAAAAACAAATTTTTGTATTGTAAGCATCACAGTTTGAGAGAATATTACATCGTATAAATATACAATTGTAATCGTGATAACTGAATAGAACTTTGTCCAACTCTGTTATAGAAGTAGCTCAAATTTCTTTAAAACGCTTTTCCCATTTCACCGAAAGAATTACTTAACAGAGAAATAAGGCAAAAGGTGCGATGTCGTTCAACGATTCGCGTAGACGTTTCAGCGTGTTAAAAATGCTGCTCATATGTATAAAAAGTTATAACCAGATTCATTTTTCATTTATAATCGGTTTCAATATACATCCAAGGTATAATTTCTCCAAAATAGATTTCATATCAAATTCATGTGAATATCGTACATTTCCCAACTCGTTGAGAAATACACGGAATAGAAAATTGATGTTACTTATTTCAGCTTTGGTCAATTGTCAGAAAAATTTACGATGTGTCAAATTCATTATGAACGAAAAAAATTTAGCTTATAAGCTTTTTTTAAGCTTCATAAAAACGTGTCAGTTTGACATCTGACCAAATAAAATTATACAGATTTTCTGATCTCTATTATTTCATTTTATCGTACAGAAGTATCCAAAAAATATTCATATGACTTTTCATGAAATATTTTAGACTTTTGTACTTGGTAATAGCGGTACGAATACAACGCGCTACTAAACTAATTAAAAGAAGTATCGAACGTATTTCCTCGCTTATAAGACCAATGTTATAAAAGTTGATGAAAATAAAAAAACTTGTTTATCCGCGACCGTAATAGAGTGTATAGAACGCCAGAACACCGCCGCCTACAATCGCAGCACCTACACCTAAAGATATGGGCGAAAATAATGACCTCTTGAGTTGCTGCCAATCTTCGGACTCCTTCTGACGTCGCTTCATACCCCGCACTTGTGCATCGAGACGTTCTTTCTTCTCCATGCGTCGTCGCCGCAGATCGTTATTTCTATTCAAACAAGAAGTTAGTAATTTATTAAAATTTTGAAATATGAGTTTATGATTTACAATTAGATACTAACATATCAGAGCCAGTTGGTGAACTATTTGCTGGATTAGACGAATCATCATTGCTCAAGCTTTCGGCGGTTGAGTCGGATGAATTATGATCACTGACATGATTACTTGTTGAGTTAGAGTTCACTACGTTTTCTGGTGCGTTAGGCAATAGTCGGGATAGTGGTGAAGAGCTTGATGTGTTGTCTGAAATTTCATTAGTTATATTATAAGTTTTTGAATCCATCATAACATCATTGTATACAAATATTTAAATATTCATGATGGCTTTCAATGTTAGTGTAAGTCAGTTATAAGTTCAAGTTTTTTCTGTGATTTATAGTAATTCAAACAAATGGACCTTCAATGGTATATTAAAGTAACGCTTTATTACCATTGTCGGATGAAGGACTAGGCGAATTATCGGTCGTTTTGCTACGAGTTAGTGATTCACCCCTAGGTGGTGGTAGAGGGGGTTCATCTTCCTCTTCTATTGATGTATTATTTATATTATTCATGCTATCACAATTATTAGTTTCGTCTTCTTCTTCGTTAGAATTCTGTAAAATGTTCACACATGAAATGTATTTTCAGATGCAGATTTTTATTTGAAGCAATGCAATAGTATTGGTGAATTCGAAATGATAAGTTAAAATAAAATAATTATGATGAAAATTGTTAAAGAATAACAGTAGCAAAATAACGATAGCAAACTTCAAACCATGAGTTCCAATAAAATTGCATTACTATTGATAGATGAAACGTACCTTGCTAATAACAGGGAAATTTTTAGAACCTTCAATAATGGCTATGTAAGAAAAGCGTAATTGATCTGGTGTTTGAATTAATCCCATTCGAGATCTTCTCATTTCTAATAAAACTTCTCTAACATTTACAGAATTCAGTCCATTTTTTTCAATCTTGTTACATAAAAAGTTGAAATTAGTATCTTGTCTTGTTAGAATTATTAAAAAAATTATATAATTTTTATTGCTTTACTTACTAATACAAGACAAGTATCCACAAGACAGAATGTACCTGACCGCCCAATACCTGCTGAGCAATGTACAATTGCGGGCCCTTCTGTTGGTTCTAAAGTACCAGTTTCTCTGATTTCAGCCAGAAATTGGAGGAATGCAGTTGGACTACCAGGCACACCAAAATCAGGCCACGTTGTGTAGTGGAAATGATATATATCTCTACTTTCGCTTGTCTCTGTATTAGTCAATCTGCATAAAAAAAATCAGTTATTTTACTGAATCAAAGTACACCTTAAAAATTATGCAACAGTCTCTTTATATTTTATTATTCAACTATTTACCTTAATGTACTTTTAACAAAATGTGATCTTCCAATTCTCTTTATTAATTCTACTTTAAATCCTTCATCTTTGAATACCATAGTACCAGTATTTCCTTCACTTTTGTCCAATGGCCAATATTGATGGCATTTTGTCAGACTATTTTCAATAACTTTGTTAAGCATTATTATTACTTTGCTATTTTGTTCCCATACCATTTGCCAGAAATGTCCAGCTGTGTTTGGTAACGGTCCTTGAGTTAAAATGTATTGTCTATTGGCACGTTCGATCTTAAGCAAATTTCCATTGATATAGTCAACTGATCCTTTTTGAAGGATTATTCTTGAATGATCATATGGCGCGACATCGCGATAACGATTCAGAGTTCTATTAGCAAACTTTTTACTTTCGTCTGCAGTGTATTCATAGTTGCTGCACTCATTGCTGATATACTGCAAAGAGAAAAATGTATAATTTATTTGTAGAAAGCTTGATTGAAGTAAACTTTTTTATTTATATGTTATTGGGTCAATTCTATTTGTATTAGCACCTTGCCAGTTTAAATTTGTAAGTGATATGATAAAAAGTATAACAATTTGTAACTCAAGATTACAAAAAAATGATTCATTACAACAGTACAAGAAAGTTATATTAGAAAAATTAAGTTAGAAAATTTTCATGATATGCTAGGTATTTCTATTACTTTGAGTCAAACGTGAAACTCTTATATTACAAGGACAAAAAAAATAATGATACATTGAAGCTAGGAAAAAAATCTCAGCAAATTCCAAATTAAGATTTCAAGGTACTTTTATAATACAAACACATAAAGTGACATCATAGAAATATTATTTGTGCCAAGCCATGACACGATTAATAAAAAATACTATTGTTTTAAATTAATTGTTTATTCTTTGTACAGCATTATCGTCAACTCAAGAACTTCATTCAGGTTTCAATGGTAGTTTTGTTAAGGCAAGACAGTATTGAACAGAAAATGCATCATTCCCAATTAGTTCCAGTTCATTGACTTGAACAAGAAGGGATTGGCTTCCAGTTCATGTGTTACTGGAACCTTCGTGAACTAACATGTCATAAAAGTTGTTGCACTTTGAACTACTGCAATAGTTCAAATAGATTCATCAATTGCAATGGTTTAACTATCTCTTCTGTTCATAAATATTATTATATTTTGAGTAAACTTTGAAAGACATGTAATACGCATCGTGCTGGTATACAAGTCAGTTTGCAGTATTCAAAAAGAAATTCCTGCAAGCCCCATAAAGTCGCCCGCACCGACGCTACTTCCGTTGTTTTTGAAACTCCACATCTGCATCATGCCAAAGGCAGGCAGTACAGGCAGTACAGGCAAAATTTTAAAAACAACTCAATCCCAGCTTTTGCGGAACACGTGAATATATAGAAATGCATATAACCTAAAAATAAGTCTAGCCGTCATTGCATTTAATGTTTCGTGTTATGTGTTTCTTTTTTTTTTCTCTCTCTCTCTCTTTCTCTCTACACTAAAGCCGCTTTACGCTGCGCACCCCTTTTCTCTTCAAAGAAGCGTGTGCGCTTTATAAAAGTGCAACGCGAGACGGTGGAAAGTGCACATGCACACACCGCCGCCGCTTCTTGCTCATTTATATTTTTTGCGTGTATATACGTATGCATGTGTGTGTGTGTATGTGAGTAAATGTGTCTGAGCTTGTTTGCCATCGTGCTCGATAGACACATGCGGACAACACGCATGCATGGTGAAAAGAAGAAAAAAAAAGGATGCATCGTGTATGCTATTGCATTGCCCCGAAGTCTTCGTCGCGCGACGAGACTGACGCATGTGTGTGTGTGTGTGTGTCTGTGTATCATGGTGTGTGCCCTCTCGACGAACGCCGAGTTACATGCGTCTCCTGTTTTTCTCTCTCTTTCTCTCTACATTTATCCTCCTCGCTCAAACGAACAAAAGAAGCCTTTTACACTCGTGTCTATGTTGTAGCGTAGGAGGGAACCTCCGCCGTTGCAGCCACACAAGCGGCGCAGACATGCAGACACGAGAAGTGTGTAAAACCTCGCGAATAGAAAGAATAGATGTGCTCGCACACAAACACACACACACACACATAAACAACAGGCGCTCATAGACATACTCGGGCTGCTAATGTGCGCGCGGCTTGTGGCATCGTTCACACATGTATCAGTTTGTGCGATGAGTAATATTATTGCGCCGCGTTGTAGCACAGGCGAACTGTATGCGGGCTGCACACAGAAAGAATTCGACATTAGAACGACAGCAGCAACGAGGACGGATAATGATGATCATAATAACGAAGGCGAAAGAAGCAACGTATATATTACGGCGACGATGATACATAGTCACGCGCGCATGGCCGAGAGAGAGAGAGAGAAGTCGCGAGCGAGAGCAGCCGGGCGACGAAGAGCAGCAGCAGCAGTAGCAAGTGTGGAACGCGCCAATGTCCATGTGTGTGCGACTGTGTATGTGTATCATACACTTATTATGTATGTATCAAGAGCACGACGATGTTATATAGTCCCCCCTTGCTCCGTTTTTAACGCGCGATAACGATTTTGGCAAGGAGCCTATACATGATAGCAGTAAAAAATAATCATAAAAAGTCAGACGTCACATAAACACCTACCCTGAGCAATGCTGGCCATCCGTTCTTCTGATTTATCTCGAGGAACTCGGTCTCGACGTTGCTCGACGACTTGTTGAGCGGATCGTTGTTGGCGCCGCTGCTGCCGATGCTGTTGTTGCTGTTGCTGCCTGCAATGCTGCTCTTCACCGAGGGCAGATTGTTCAACGGCGCATTGACGTTGCCGACGCCGTCGTTGTTCGTCATCTTTCGACCGTTGTTTTGCTTATTTTTTATGAATCTGCGCGAGCTTTAAATCCAGATTCAGAGTCGAGCCTTGTGTATACTCAAAAGCGGAGCAACAAAATCAAGCACACTTTTCTGAGATCCGGACGAATTCCAAGGTTCTCGGCAGCGGAGCAACAAAACAATTTCACTCGTCTGGGCGATCGTCGAACACACTCGGACACACTTTCAGTAGTAACCGGCCATCTCCGGATTGACAATATAAAGCAATACACGGACACTCTTTTTGCAACACAGATAACGACGAGAGTCTCGAGTCACTCTACATCGGTCGCTGTCTCTCTTTCTCTCTCAATGTAGCCTCTATGTATCCCGTGAATTATCTCTCTCTCTCTCTCTCACTGAGGAAACCTCTTGTGTCTGTATATATATTGGAATATATATCTATATATACACGCACAACGAGCACAGCAGCCTCCTTTCTATGTATATGTCTATGTGTGTGTTGGTGCGGCTGTGTGAATATACAAGCCTGTATAAGTATGTGTCTCTTGTGTGAGAGAAATATTCGGCGAAACCAATTCACTGAAACACGACGACGCTACACTTTTTTTCGGAGTAGGTATACGTTATTATTATTTAACGAAGAATAAAGCAGCAGCGGCCGAGAGACGACTCCGCGACCGACCGACCGACTCACGACGACGACGATCACTCACTATACCACTACCACTGCTTCTACGACGACGACGACGATTCCGCACTTTAATAATGCCCAAGCACTGGTACGTGTGTTGAACGCAACTCTGTGTGTGCGTGGAAATTGCGAAAATGAGACTGAATTTATGATTATGCTTCTCGTGCGAGCGAGGAGAGTAGCGTACGTACACGGCCGCGACGAAGAGACGACGACTCACGACCACGACGATTTAGCCTGTGTGCGTGCGTGTGGCGGTGCTGCTGCTGTACTATATAATATCGAATGCGGAGCAGTAGCGGCGGCGGCGGCGGCGGAGCAAATTACGGAGTCGGGAGAAACTGAAACTGTGCGCGAACTTGCACGGTAGGTACTGCAGTATAGTAGACTGTACGGCTGCACTTGGCGGCTCCGCTGCTTCGTGGCGCTGCGTAGTATATAGGTTGATCGCCGATGCGCGCGCGTGGGTGGACTCGGACGTATATAATACGCGAGAGCGAGAGAGACGGAGAGAAAGAGAGAGCGTCGAGGCGGCAATTTTTGAAATCGATCCATGTCGCGCGTTCGATTTTTTCTTTCAACGGTTGTAATTCGAAGTGTGGGGGGAAATTTTTTCAAATTTTTAGTTCGAGGAATCGAACGTTTATAATTTTGGAGGGGAGGCATTTTAAGCTGATTATGGAGGGTTGTTACTTGTTGTTACGCAACATTGCGATAGTATAAGCAGAATAATGACTGGATTTTAATTAGGCTCGTAATCTCTAACTTTGATCGATACCATCATCGCTCGCTCATTGCGTTGCTATGCATTTAATTAGAAATCGAGAGACTCGTGTGTGCGGGTCTCTGTGTACACAACGAGCTAGCTAGATAACGATGATCAGAATTCGAACGTTTGAATTGAGAGAGATAAAATGAAAACATAGACACATGTTTTTCCGAGTAACCACGTGGGTGAAAGTCTCATCGCGTTGTTGTTATTCTCGAAATCCACACGCAGCCATTTTTATAGAGAAGAGACAGAAATAATGACGAGCGGAAAGATCCCAAATACATCTTCGAAGTGTAATATATTGATCCAGCGATAAAACCGACGTCGTGTCTAGTAGCGTGCGGCGTGTCGAGGAACGTCGATAATTAGTTGTGTACGTCAATGACGGCTTAGTACTTTCGGCGTACACGAGTTAATTTTTTATTTTTATCACCGTAACCCTTTGCGCCGCAATACGTTAACAACGAATCGATATCACGATCATCGAGGCGCGTAAGTACGATGATGAAGCCGTTGTTTTTCGGCGAAATAAACTCTGCATCATCTTTCCCACCCTCTTGTGGTGGTGATTCACCCTAGCTCTGTCTATCTCTCTCTTTTCGTTGGAAGTTTATGTGCTTCAAAGCTCGCACGAGAGAAGACGCAAGGATAAAGAGGTGGATGGGTGGTTGTGAGGGGGATCCGCGCGTAGGTGTATCCCTATATGCTAAACCCTCCCGAGATTCACCTGAGCGCCCGACCGGATATCGAAGACCCGAGCGTCAAGTACGAGGTGTAATCGTGGGATATATTTTTTTTTTTTTTTTTTTTTTGGAAAACTATGAGCTTAGTTACATAAAATGATAATGTAAGCGCATCGGTCGCCGACGACTCGCCACTTTTCGAGCGACGAAAAATAATCGATAATTCGCACTGCTTCCGCGTATTCACCTCCGCCATCATCGCACCCGTGTGGTTGATTGCGTTTCAGTTTTCACGCGCGCGTTATTTTCCTGATACGTGTTTGCCGTACGAGTACGTGCAGCCGCATCGAAAATTGATAATAACGCGAGGGATAGCGTACGAGATTATTTCCCTCGAGGGCTTTACCTCTTTCACGTTACCTTGTAAATGCACAATCGATTCTTGCCTGGAAACAAAACATGTATTTTCTGGCCAATGTAATTTTTCAGTGTGTTTACTAATGAACGAGTTAATGAAAAAAGTCGAGAAAAAAAATTTCTGTCCAATTGTAGCGGTAAAGGGACGAATATTATCATTGTTCAAACGTCGTTTTGATTAAAATTTTCAGAAAGTCAAAATCGTTCCAATTATTCTATGTCTATATAGCGTCGTAATTATCAATTTTTCGTTCAATCATTCTCGTAAACCGTTTGTTTATTCCAACGAACTTTCTGTGATCGCGAAAATTATAGCGCCCGGGGCATCTCGAAATAACAATCGATGCCGTCGTTGTAAATATCTCATCGTACGCGTGTTCGTAACTGTCTCATGACTATAGAGAGTATAGCGAGATCGAAACACGTCGAGTAAACAGCTAGTAAATACCGCTTAGACCGAGGCAAGTGATTTTCGTGAGAAAATTTATAAAAAATTTTTTTTTATATCGTTAGCGTCTATTTGTGCGTGAGTGTGAGCAAGGCAGAACTATGTGGGAAGAACTGAAAATCTTACGAGACAATTTTCGGACGTGGGAATTGGAATCAGACCGCCGTGAGTTTCTTCGTCAACTTTACCCTTTGATCGAAAGTTGGGGAAGCCAAACTCCAGTTATCCTGGACATCTTTGATCGCGAAGAAATCGAGTGGCTTCTCGCGGATTCCGTGAAATATCTCGCCAGTGATACACAAGCGGGTCGTGACATGTCATTGTCATTCATCAATTTTTTAGTTCGGTGCAACTACAAAGATGAGGCCAACGTTGATAATGATCACCGTACGACTGCGTTGCACCACTTGGTCAGATCATCGCGGCAAGAATCAAGTTTCGTTATTGATATTTACCGCGAAGCCAGCCTCGAAAGGATTTGCCACTCGCTGTTCCAAATATACGCCTCGTTCGCGGTGAATTACGTGGACGACGAGTCCGGCTACACGCACTTGCACATCGCCTGCGAGTTCGACTGCGAGAACGTCGTGCGGCAATTTCTCGAGCACGGCCAGGATCCCAATGTTCTCCAGCGAAAAACGGGCGACAGGCCTCTGCACGCGGCTGCGAAGTACCCTGGAAGGCAGGCGATGGCGTGGCTGTTGAAAGCAGGCGCGGATCCGAATCTGGTCGATAAGCACGGACAGACGGCTCTGCACGTTATCGCCATAAGATGCGACGGCGACGATTGCGCCGCGATGTTGCTCGAGCTGAGCTGGGCCAGGTATCGTCCACTGGGGATCAACGCCCGGGACGCGCTGGGCAATACGCCGCTGCATTACGCCCTGGAGTTCAATCGCGGAAGACTGTTCGAATGGCTGCTAGTGAACGGCGCCGACCCAAATTTGGGCAATAATAACGAGAAGACTCCTCTGCACATCAGTTGTTCGATCGGTTTTCATCTCGAGAAGTTTTTCACAATTTGCGACGCTATGCACCTTAGGGTGCGAATCGATGTAGAGGACAGATACGGTTACACGCCATTACTGTTGGCTCTGCAAAATGGGAACGAGAAGGTGGTCGATTCACTGATAAGACGCGGCGCCGATCCTGATCTCGTCACTCTCCGATGGTTGACGGCTCTGCACATGATTTGCGAGAAAGACGAGCACGATAAATCCGCCAAGGTGTTGTTCAAGATTTGCGACGAGATAAATCGGACGCTACAGGTCGAGGCTAGAGACAAGGCGGGTAATACGCTGCTGCAATTGGCCGTGGCGAATGTGTTGCCGAATACCGTCGAGGCACTATTGCAGCATGGCGCTGATGTCACCAACTGCGTCTTCCCAAGTCTCATTAATCCGAAAGCTTTGATGTATCGCAAAACGTTGAATTTTAAAATGAGGGTGGCGTGCGGTGCTCTGGCCGTCGCCGAGCATCTCCAGTCGAACGGCTACGATTTTGGCCGAAGCGACGCCTTGTCGATCATGAAATTTTTCGATACGCACGGATTGTTCAAGAAGTCGTCTACGAGAGTCGAAGAGAGTTGGTACGACGACGACGAGGAGTTCGCCAGCCAAGCCAAGGAAATAATGATAACATCCAGCGCGTCGCTCTACGACGTGCTCAAGTTGCGGCCCGAAAAGGAGGATAAGTTACTCACGTACACGGACTACTTCGAGTTCGCGCATTACAGAGCGTGGAAGATCCCGGGACCCCATTACAGGACTTGTATTTTGCATCTGTGCGAAAAATTGGCCGGAGGATTTTTTCGGCGCTGGGCGCGGTATGATTTCTGGGAGCTGATCCATAAGAAGCTGCCACTTGAGTGCTGTGAAAAAGTCCTCGACAATGTAATGAACCAGGACTTGTATCATATTATCTTGGCGGTGGCTGACAAGCAAAGCTCGTGTTAACGACGAGGACGTTTCCAATATTTTTTGTGCGTTATAAAATATCGTTTTTGTCAGGACAGGGATACATTTTCCAAGCACACTACGCTTTTTCTATTAGATCCTTATTTCAAATTAAATTCAGGAAAAAATAAATAATACAATTTAGAAAAATTGTAAGAAGGAAGTTGATCTAAGTATTTTTAGATCCTTTTAACATAATTTGTAAAAGTAGGCAATTAAGACTGAGACTGAGCGATAAAAAGTTACCTAAAATTAGACGGTAAAGAAATAATAATCCTATAAAAAATGGAAATTTTAATCTGTTTTATGTACGAAATTTTAATGATTAAAATTAATTTTTCTCATAATTACAGCTTCTATTTATTTTACACTTATAAATTAGCTATACCATGATATCTCCTTCTATTATTCTGGTCTACTAAGTCCGAGTATAACAAAAAAACAACTAAAATTGAAATTAAAATTTATATAAAATTTCTACGTGAATTGTCTGAAAAGTTTGCGTTAGCTTCATGTAAAATATGCCTAACTTTTATGATAAAATTTAATAGAATTCGTAATAATTATTCATGAATGGACAGTTCTACACATTATTTTTTTTTTAATCTTTATTTATGATGAAATCTGTCTGCATTTGATTTTGTCGCGTCCATATCTGTAAAATTTTGACATGTTCGGTATAGCTCGATTTTCACGAGCGCAGTTTCGCCCTTTTGCCAAGAACTCTGAATGCTCAATCGTTGAGTAATGCCAGCTATGAGTTTTTCCTTCGATGGTAAATGTTTGGGTTGGGGGAGTACCTCATTTTTTGAGTTCGGAAATAATTTTTACATCACTTTCATTTAGCTATTGCGCCAACTGGTATAACTATCCTATAAAAGCTCATCAGATGTTGATGATGACAATAACAATATCATCAAAATCTACTGAATTGACAGCTGGGCCGACGATCGTCTTAAATTTTGGCAGTTGCAGTACTGTAAGCTGGATGATTAATTGTTTGCTGCTCTTAGACAATGTTAATAAGTAAAATCTATGCAAGTAATAAAAGGAGCGCTTTCGTATGTGGCAACTTTTAGATCTCTGTGTGCTTCTCTGTAAAAGTAGACAATAAAAAACTTGAATTAAACGAAGTCATATCGATGTTACTTAAGCTTCATAAAATATGAACTCGCTTTTTTCCCATTTTTTACTGCCTAATAAAATTTTCATCGTGAACTTTTTACATTCTATTGTGTCGAATATAATGCTCATTCCGAAATTTATTTTTCAATTTATTTTTATTTCCTCGTGCACGTGTTCATTGTCATAAAAACGTGCTGATTAATTTAGTTTTTTCTTTTCATCCGACACGCGACGAGCTACGACCAAGGTCTAATAACTATTTCATGTTTAAAATACCCGTCCAGTTTCTTTGATCGGATTTAAATTAAAAAGTCGAGATCGAACCTGAATACACAAGTAAATACTATCCTGGAACATTAAGCATTGAATGTACCTGAGGCTTATTCTGAAAAATTGATAAGGCTTGATTTTAAACGTTGCACGATTTTCTCAAATCAGTACATTACTCGCGCGTGCCAAAGTCAATCTTAACGCGAGGAATTCCAGCTATTTATGAATGAACGAGTAGTCCTATATAAAAGGCCTATATATTGGGAGCGGTTCGTGGCGATAACGACGCGTAGCGATCATCGCGGGGCCGGCTGGCGACGTAAATATTGACTCCTCTGTTTATATTATAATTATGCTATATGCTACACACATACAGCAAGCAGCTGCACACTATAAGGATCTATATAGCATAATCGCTCGGTGGTCGTGTGCCGTTCTCTGCTCCTGCGACGATGCTAACCGGCCGCGCGCCTCTTGGCTCGTGCTAAAGCTACACATATATATATACTTACAGCATAGCATAAAGCGTAAACTGCTGCCACTGCTGACACAATACAGAAGTGCGCGGCGTGCAGTGAATCCGTAGGGGTTGTTGTGTCTGTCTCGCTCTCTTGTACATTCTCTCTTTCTCGGGCAGATGATTTCGCCGAATTAACGACACGACTGCGTGCAGAAGTGCATATGTATGTGCGCTCGTATACGTGTGCGTGAAGTAAACGAGATTCGTGCACTGCACAGCAGTGTTGTGTGCGAAAAGTTGCAGCGCGTGTCGAGCGAGACGCGCCAGCAGAAGATACATACACAAGTCTCGATACAAGACACTGTGTGCCCCGTGTATAGAGTGCTGCAGGCTGTTTGGCAGTGAAAAAAAAAAACAACGACGACGACGACAACAACACAAACATGACGAGGATAACGACCTGGTGACAGCGGGGGCGAGAGCGAGATGAGGGACGTTCAGGAGACCGGCGACGTGAGCGGCGGCGAGAGGCTTCTACCCGAGCCCAAAGCCTACCTGCGCTGCTTTTACGAGCTCTTCAAGAGCATCGCCGAAGCCCAGAGGTCGGTTCCGAGTCCCTTGAGAAGAACCCTTATTTTTATCACGATAACCTGCACCCCCGCAGCCGATCGATTTTCATTTGTTTTTTTTTATTTACTTGCGTTACGTTGCATTCGATTGTTGAAAATGATTTAGGCATTCGACTTTATTACAGTCGATTGTCGCTACGAATGTTTATGATGCTCGGGCTAAAATGACGTTCGATGCGAGCAGAGGGTTAACGGTGCATATAGGGGTTGCCAGGAGAGCGAGAGAGTTAACCTAAAATTCGAATGTTTTGATTTCAAGGGATGCTTTTTACGCAGACTTACTTGACGAATTGTTTCTCGACTTTCAGAAAGTTTGAAAACAATTATGATACAAACTTCGATGGTTTCTTCTTTTGCCGCGATATTTGGAAAATTTTTGAAAATTATTGCCATTACATTTTACATTTGAAATTCGAACGTTCCACTGACGTAACGTTTTTAATGCACGAACGATGGATAGGTATTAATTTTATAAGAAAATAATACGTATTCGAGAGAAATATTCTTTAATAAAAATTAAAACCGGTATTTTTACAGTATAATTACATATTCATATTTTAAATTTGAGTAATGCAAAGAGAAAAATAAAGTATAAACACTGCACAGGATATCCTTGAAAGATTTTTCAAACTCATGAGTCTTTATTTAATAGTTTTTTCTCTTACATAATTTTTTTCATTTCAAATAAAATGCAATTGTTTAAATTCTAACACAATAATCTCCTATAATATTTACAATGACTAAATTATTAATACTTTTTCAGGCTGAAAGGTGAATGGAAGAAGAACAGAAAAAACAAAACAAAAAAGAAAGATAAGAAAAAGGTAACATGGGTTCATTTAATTTCATTTCTGTTTAATAAATTATCTATTAATGATTATATTTATTTTCAGATTGATATCACTGGAGAAGTGACATGCACCGGTACACCTGAAATTGAAGTTTCTAGTAACGCATCAGCTTTTGCGGTTTTTGCAAATGTCAGAAGTGCAGTTCTAGACAAGCATGCCAGAAAAATTAATGACGCTTACAGAGCCTCACACTGTACTTCTCCTCCACCTCCAGAATTTAGTGATAGTATAGCATCTGAAAGTGAAGAAGACAACCATGGATCAACCACACAAAATTTACCAAAGATTGTTGGTATAGGTTTAAGGAGTGTTTTCACTCTTATGAAAGAAAGTCGTTCAATAGAACCAATTTTGTGCACAAAAGCTTTATGTGCACTCTTAGATGTATTACAAGGGCAATTACCAGAAGGTTTGAAAAATGAACCTGATGATGTCATTGGTATGTTTAAAATACATTTTATATGTAGTCCTGTTTGGATTCTAATAATTATATATTTATGTTTAGATCAATTATTTGAATTATTACTTGATCTTGCCACATCCCATGGACCTGAATCTACTGCAGCTAATGATGGAACTCACTTGACGGCAGTTGCCTGTGCTTGTTTACTTAGTTTAGTTGTTGTACGTGGAGATACTGGAAGACTTTTGGCTACTATAGCTGCTTTACTTATGAGTCCCAGAGCTCTTGTAATGCAAAATGTACAGGTAATGAAAAGAATTAAATAATTTTTTGTAAGAGTAAAATTTATCTTGTAAAATTTATTTTAAATCATTTTTCTAGATGCCGGTGGTTCTTACTTCACTTCAAAGAAGTGTTCATGCAGTTCTGCTTGGCAAATTAGTTAGACCAGATTGGATTACTCATGGTGTTCCTAAAACTTCAAAAATTTACACTTCAGTTCTTAAGTTACCAAAAGATATTAATAATTTAGTTATGAATGGACGCAGTTTTGTTAGTGATGGTAAATATTTGTATCTTCATACCAATCGTGGTTTGTTGAAGATTGGAAATGGTCATGGTGGAACTATATGGGGTCACGTGTACGCTCATAAACCTGATTTTTATCCTTCAGAAACTGGATGGATTGGTTATGCTAATGTAAGTTTAACTTTTGCTAAATAAATTATTATCTAGTTTTGATTTTAAATGATATCTAAATTTCAGAGTTCCTTGTACTTCAAATACTCACCCAAAAAACAATGTGAGTTAATGATATTAGATCCTGAAACTTTATCGATAAGAGGTATAGCTGTATTGGAAGGTAAGGATTGGTCTTCATCTCTTATGTTTTCTGATGGTGAAAATTTGGGAATGATCACGGCTGGTAAAGATGTGAGTATTGCTATATATATATATTTTTTGAATTTATCATTAAAAAACTGAAAAAATAAATCTAATATTTACAGGATGGATTTGTGGTGCGTACTATAAATACTTTCAGTAACCCTGTTACTGTTACATCAGAATTACCTCTGAAATTGGCTCGCAAATGTGTCGACGTTTTTGGCTACGCAAATTTTGATGAAGAACAGTCGAGTTATATTCTGAATCCTCGTTGCGATGATGAAATAGCACATGTTGCCGCAGGAAAGGAGTTTATGCTATTGAAAACTGTGTCAGGAAAATTGATGTACTCTGGGAAAGGGCGATGTATTGGTATGAGAAATAATTTAAGATCAAATAAATGGCAGGAAGTGGCATTATCGAGGAAGAACAAAGTTGTCGATTTTGCGGTCGGTCACGAGGGACAACATGTAATAATAATTCTCGACGATGGATCTGTACTCTTTGCTGGAACAGCGAGACGAGGAGAAGATGGCGATACTAGTAAATACTTTTAAAATTATTTTAATTTTATTCCATTAATTTTATACACTACTGACTGATTGGAATTGTTACACACAGATAAAGTTCGTCAACCAAAGCCATCCAAACCAAAGAAAATGCAAAAGATTGACGGTAACTTCATTGTAGATGCAGCATGTAATAATGGCACTACAGCATTAGTTACAAAAGAGGGCACGCTTCTCATGTTTGGTAAAGATACCCTTTACAGCGATGAAGCAACGGGACTCGTATCGGATCTCAAAGACGTATTCATTGTCAAAGTTGTTTTGGGCAAAGCTCACGCTGCCGTGCTCACTAATAAAGGTCATCTTTATACGTTTGGCATTAATAATAGGGGTCAGTGTGGTAGAGATTTTTCCGGCACATATTCATCTAGTAAGGAAATTAACGTCACCGCAATGGAAACAGGGATTGCGGATGACGATGAAAATGCGGCAAACGGTGGTAAGATTCCTATTGTTTTTGATTAATTTTTTTGTTTTTTTGCTTTATATTACTTTTATTAATTTTTCAAGCACATTTTTCTTTGGTTTTTAAAGTTTTTAAAGCTAGTGGATTTTTGATTTTTAGTGAAAAAAAAGAGAAAGAAGAAACGGAATCATTATTGTATAAACGTGAATAGAGCAGTGGACAAATTTGTAAAAGGTTTTATTTTATTTTCATTTTCTTTTCCTTTAAATTCTAATCCTTTGTTCTAATTTTTTGTTATCATTTCATTCTTTTTTCATTGCACTATAAATTAAGACGTACATGCCAAAACTCTCGTTACAAAACGTTCGCTTAAATTTCCAGAGAGTTTAGAACAAAATTACGATTGGCCAGAGGCCAAAGGTATCATCAGAGTCGACGGTATGTGCCCGCCAGGCCAGCATCAATGGAAGCTTCGGGCTTGCATGATATGTACAGTCTGTCGCGAGTGTACAGGCTACAGTATTTCGTGCCTGAGCAGCACTCGTCCCGATCGAAATCCCGGACAGTAAGTTGAAATTTGTCATTACTCGAGTGACACCTGTTGATATACGTAATTTATTCTATTTTATTTTATTTTTTTTTAAATTCGCAGAGAGTGCGGCTGTGGCGAGGGCGACAGCGGCTGCGCCGAATGCGGATGCTGCAGACTGTGCGCAAACGAAAGTTGCGACAACGGAGGAGACATACCGATCTTGAGACCACCTGCCGGTAAGTCATAGTCAATTAATCGGTGTCGATTTAAATGGTATGAAGAATATTTTCTTATACCATTTTAGCTTGTGGAAGTCCTCAAATATACGATTTTGCAGTTGGGGAATATCTGAAAAAACGTTTCGAGGAGAAGAAGCCCAAGCAATGGAAAGGATCTAATAATCAGCAACGAGTGGGAGCAGGTGCGTAAACAATTCATTCGAGTGATCTCAAATTTATTTCTTGAAATAATTTAATTCCATCGGATTTTAATTTAATTTTGTCTCATAGTGCACAAATCGCTCTCTGCCAAGCGACTAGCCACTGTTGCTGGCTCATCGGCGCCGGGCGAAGAAGTTGTCAACGACGGCAGCGATATAGAACGAGGCGAGTCCACTCGCGTTGCCAGTATACCACCGGCTCGGGTGCACTTTCCATCCGACAGTCCCGTGGCTCAAATCGCCTGCGGTCTCCATCACACCGTCGTTCTTTTACAGAACGGCGAAGTATACACTTTTGGCAGTAACATTTACGGCCAGCTCGGTGTCGGGAATCTCATTGCTCACGCTGGCCCTATGATGGTCGATATACCGGGTACTGCGGTCCAGATAGCCGTGGGTAGTAATCATACCGTAGTGCTTACGGCTAAAGGAGAGGTTTACGCCTTTGGAGCGTATCAGAAAGGTCAACTGGGTATGAATTGGTGGGAAGATCAACTGCAACATCAGGATCGTAAACACTCCGACGGTGCGAATACAGCTTCGGGGTCATTCAGTAACAATCGAGATTCGGAACGGACTCAACCTTGGCACAGTTTTCCCAATGCCGTGCCTAACATTGGAACCCGATGGGGTAGAAAAGCCACTTGGATAGGGGCTTCGGGCGATCAAACATACGTCAAGGTAAACTTTATTTTTAAAATTAATTTTGATTTTTTCTCAAAAATTGATTTTTTTTTAAGGTCGACGAAATCAACAGTATAAGCTTGACAAGAAGCTCCGTCATGGCCAACGACTCGTGCATATTGTTGATTCCTCACCAAACCGAGTATCGCAATAGTTTCAAGTGCCTGGTAATAAATAAACGGGACGGTACGTGCAACAGTTTCAGCGGTTCAGATCAGATCGACTTTAACAATTGCGCCGCTTGTTTGGACCCGTTGTACAACGGCATTTGGGCCTTCAATCCTTCGACCAACGAAATCAGCTATTACAACGTTATATCGACGGAAGCTCGCGCGATTCCTAATCTCGAGGCGTCAATTCTCAGTTCGGGTCTGGCGCTGCCCGTGGTACCGAATTGTTACATAACCAGGTCGCAGGCGGCCATGCACTTGTTAGCGTGTCTAGATACACTGACTCAAGCGCAGGATGAAAAATTGACCGTGACCGAGGGCAACGAGAATAACCACGTAGTTAATGGTAAAAATTATAGCAGAGAAGATTTCGCCATGGTTTCTAGATTCGAGAATCATGGCGGGGGTTGGGGCTATTCCGGACAAAGTATCGAAGCTATTCGATTTATGGTTGACACTGATATCTTATTAGGTGAGTGTTAATATATCTACTATCAATATTTGTCGTTTATCGTTGTTTCAATTCGTTTTTTTTTGTGCAGGTGGTTACGGCTTGTTTGGTGGTCGTGGAGAATACACGGCTAAAATTAAATTATTCGATATCGGTTTGGAGGGTGGCGAGGAGGAAACGGACGGCGACTTATTAGCCGAAACGGACGAGATACCTTACGAATGTGAACCCCGTCAGAAGTACTCGATTCTGTTCAACGAGCCGATACCTCTGCAAGCCAATCGATGGTACGTCGCTTGGGCCAAAGTCAGCGGGCCGTCCAGCGATTGCGGCTCGGGCGGTCAAGAAACAGTTACGGCCGAGGATCAGGTGGTCTTCAATTTCAAAACATCGAAGGAGGCTAATAATGGAACGGACGTTAATGCCGGCCAATTACCTCAGCTATTGTACAGGGTAACGACGCCGGAAAATCAAAACTTGGGCCGGAAGCGCGATCAAGCGGAACCCGTGTACATAGTGAAGCGCGAATTCAGTCGAACCGTCACCGAAGAATGTTTCCAGTCGTTGATATCGCTGCTACAGTGGAGCTGGAATACTCTTAAAGCCAGTGCAGTCGATACTAATTTACAAACCAATACATTCCCAATGCATATCATGGTTGAGATGGATCGACTAGTGTATATCAGTAAAGCTAGTCTAAGATTAATCAAAACGTACACTAATGAAATATATCCAAATCAAAACTGTAAAAAAACGCCCTCGGAGAGCGTCAGACTGGCCGAGTGCATCGGAGAAGTTCGAGCTCTACTGCGTCAAATATTATCGGATTCCGTGTCCACCGCCACAACCGCCAAAACGAAAAGCGGAAAGACTCGGGCGAACAAAACTTGCCTGGGCCAATCCATGACGAGTGCAGTGCTCGACGAGTGTTACAAAACTTTCGTCGCCTGCTATCACGCGTTCTATCCGACGGCCTACCTCAAGTGGACCTCCCTGTGCGAACTTCTGGCCGAGATAGATAAGGAGCAAGGCATCACGAGCAAAGATCGACTGCTGTCTGCCGTGCTGGCTTCACTCTGCAGTTCGACCGTCAGGCTGCGATGCACATTCCCGATTCTCAACAACGTGATGGATTGCAGCGATAGCGTCAAACGTCAGCTCAGTCCCTCGGATAACGCTGGACTATTGATGATGAATCCGAGCGAAGTCCATCACTATCCGATATTGGTCGAGCAAATAAGTTATAAGAGTCAAGTCGAAAGTACCGGCAAACAAATTTTGAACTGGTCCTTTCGGGAAGTTCTAGATAGGTAAGTTTTAAAGACCTCAACAACGATTCAAATCAAGAGTTCACTCATATAATGTCTTGTAACAATGATGTTCGCAGATTATTAGACCTCATTTTGATCCCGGTGAAGCGAAGCTTGAATCGCGAAAAAAGCCAGTCACTGTCTCATCTAGTCTTGCACTGCTGTCACCTATTAGCTCGAGTGATAAGCGAGCTCGCCGCCTACTCCAATGGCAGCGAGGACGAACTGCAGGCGGCATGCTATAGATTAATGTACACCACGCCGTCGCGTTTCACGCGGGTCAACCAGACTCGCTCGTGGAACACGGGCAACGGCTCGCCCGACGCCATTTGTTTCTGCGTCGACAGGCCCGGTATCATGATCGCCGGCGTTGGAATTTACGGTGGCGTGGGAGTCTACGATTACGAGTTAGAATTATTGGACGACGTGAGTTGATTCGATCGCTATTGCCTGAGATATTCCTCGTATATTCACGATGTTTTATGATTTCAGCGAAATAATTCCAGTAACGATCCATCGCACACTCAGCACTGGAGCAGTTTAGATTTCACGAGAGGCTCTTTTGGTCCCGACGACTGCATCAATGACGTCGTCGAGCTCAAATTCGATAAACCCATCCCTATCAAGGAGAGAGTTAAATACGCCATAAGACTGAGAAATCGCGGTGGCCGAACCAGTAACGGCGACGGTGGTTTAAGAATCGTCAAAGGTCCAGATGGTACTTCGTTCACGTTTTCCGCTTGCTCTCTAAGTTTTAACGGTACCACGCAGGCAAGAGGGCAGATTCCACATATCTTATACTATTCGAATCCTTTGGATTCGAGCGATCACCATACGAGTAAGGCAATGGCTGAGGTGCAAGCACGAAAGTGTACCTTAGCCATGACAGCCACGATAATTCAGCGGGCCAATGACATACTCGCATTAGCGAGAGAAAAAATCGACCAAGTCAACGTCAACGAGATTGTCGGTGATTCGGCATTCGTGACGACACTTTTGCCTCTGACTACAGCGTATATCATTCCATTAGCTACATCCGACCCAAGGGTAAGAGTTTAATCGAAAAAATTTTACATATTTTTCTCGAGAGAAAATTCATTTTGATATCATAATTTTAGAGTGGAGTTCAAGTCCTAACTCTCATACAAGAGATGTTGCCTCACGTAACGGCATTAAATCTTAGCCTGGCGCTTAAATCATCGCAATCGTCCCTCGGCCGTCAAGAGGGTGAAAATCAGCAGGCACCGCAAACAACGTCTTATTACTCTTCGGTAACCACAACTAGTCATTATTATACGTGGTTGGAGAGCGAGCATCCCTACCGGCCGGCCTCAGTTTCTTACTACAGAGCTACGTTTCCCGACACGGTCAAGTGGATGACCGTCGAGTTCACCCCCGACTGCGGCACTGCGCAGCCCGAAGATTATTTGCAAGTGTACATTCCGAATAATGATGCCACTTCGTCAAAGTAAGTTATCAAATTGGACTTCGAATGTTACTCTCTGAGAGCTTCTGTACAGTGCATTAAAACTGACGAGTCAAATGATGATAAATTAGTTGGTTTCAAATATTAAAGACACAAGCCTTTCAAGCGCATTTATCTAGTTCAGTTAGCTTTAAAAACTGGATTTCGTATTATATTAAATTTTAATTGTTTTTAAGAAAACACTATTGATTGATTGGACATTTTTTATTAAATAATTTTATTTATCAAGTATTCAAAAACTATCATTCACTTTCACTTAGAACAACGGAGAACATTAATTTAGAAGAGAACTCGGTGTACTGTCCTGTACTGCATAAACTCAGCAACGTTCAGAGTCAATGGCCCCAAAATGCAGTCGTTTTGCCTGGAAACGAAGTCATATTTTCTCTCGAAACCGCGTCCGACTACATGAAGGACGAAAGATCCATCACTTACGGCTTCAAATGTTTGGTTATTGGTTACGACTGGATACCGACCAACTCCGGACTGAAAAATCTCGAAATCGAATTGTCGTTTCTCGGTGGTGCGTGCGCCGCTAGTCTGATGAAGAAGAATCTTGGACTACCCATGGTACAGAACGAATGTAAGTCGAATCTTTTCTCTTTTTTTTTTTCAATCGTTTGTTTCGATAAAAATTAATCATCGCATCGATTTGCAGCCGAAGACGACATGGAAGAAGATCCGGAATTGGCGCAAGAAACCGCGAAGAGGATATTCACGATGCACTCGGCTTTGCTGGGCCGAGGATTCGCGCTCGCGGCACCACCCACCGTGGCACAAGGCCTCGACGGCGTTCTTCCATTCAGGTAGGTCTTTTGAAAATTCATAAATTATATATCTCGAGTTCAACGTGCGTTAACAATGGTTCGTAAAGCGTAAAACTCTCCGAAAGCATCGTAACGCATTTACGTCGCTTTCACGAATTAGCGTCGCAGCTAATAAATGAAAAACAAGCGAGAGAGAAAGAGAAAAAACTATCCGTGTAATATACTTTGACACGCACGCGTTATATGTTATTGCATGTGGCGCTTGACATCGTTACGCGTGGTTGAGTAATACAACCGCAACTTTTCGCATTCAGCAACGACGACGATTTTACTCACAGCGAGCAGCAGCAGCACATTTATCAGGCACGCACGCGCGCGCGCACGCTTGAACGTTGAAAAGTCATTAAATAATTATCATAAAACTATTAAGCGTTTGTCGCGCTGCTGCTCCCATGTATAAAATGTAATATAACGGTCTGCGCGCTGCCGCGCGTTTGCAGCAGCAGAGGTCCTGCTCTTTTTATTTTATTTATTTTCTTCTTTTCAGCGTGTATGCAAATCTCTCTCTCTCTCGCGTGAGCGTGCACGGTTCCGAGTTTACGAAAAAAGAGAAACAAAAAGAAGAACAAAATAAAAAGCAATTTGCGAAGCAAATTACAATTAATTCAGCGCGTACATCAGCTCACGCCCATGAGCATAATTAACGTATATAGCATACACATCCCATCCGTCCTGCAGCGGCAAATGTTGCAGCAGCAGCAGCGAACGCGTCAAGTCGGCGAGATAAGCCGTTGTGTGTACAAGCGATGCATTTGTACTTGTATATATATAATACGCAAGCTGCTAATCGGAAGTGAAAGGCTCGGACGCGCTTATCCCATTAATTCATCTCCGCGCGTGTCTTTGGCGTCTTTTTTTCTGGCTGCTTTATTTTCGATGCCGCGCGTCCTTTTTACTGGAATTTCGGCTGTGCGAGAGATGAAATATCCGTCTGGTGTAACCTTTTCAGTCGCTGATTTTGCGCGTCGACAACTCTCGGTGCGCGCATTGTACAAAGTTACGTCTCTTGCGCTCTGCATCGCGAACAAAATTCTATAAAAAAATTCAAACTTGTAACCCATTGACGAGGCGCAAAGACTGTATTATACACAATACACATTGTAATTGATTTAATTCGGTCTTTCTCAACCGGCTGAAAAAGAAAAGAGAGCAAAGTTGAGCCAGTAGCAGCAGCAGCAGCAGCAGCAGTAGCGCAACGTAATTTTAAACTTGAGCAGCTTTAAACTTTCATACTCCATGAGCATCGGAGCTTTGCGTATACGGAGAAAACCAATGAATATTAAATGGATGCATTAAGGCTTGCGCGCGCGAGTTCACGCGTATAGATATATAATATCGCCGTGCATCTATATAGCCCGACTTGCGCTCCGCGCCGAGTACGCATTCTAAGACGATGATACGTTTAATCTTCATAATAAGATAGCGTCTGAAATAATTTAGCATCGCCCAAGTATTTTCCATACGATTATCTGCATAACTGAAATTTCAGCGTCAATGTCATAATTATACTACGCCGCGCGCGCGGTATCAAGACTCTATTGTTGCAGTTATTACCTTCGTTTCATATACTTTATAATGCGAGATATCATCCGCGTCGGGGTACGGTAGCGAAGCTTTTGAATGTATAAAGCGCGTTGATTGGCCTCTATTATATGGTATGCATAGAACACAACGTCCGAGATTACGTCCCGAAAATGACCAGAGAATTCACAAAATATCTTTTCGCGTATAAGATTAAAAAAGAAAAAGAACAAGCGTAATAATTAGAAGCGAGCTACTGATTTGTTACAGCGCGTTTATAAAGTCGAGAAAATAACAGTGATTAAGTCGTCCTCGTTGCGTCCATCGCGTAGTCGATACATAAGTCTCGGCGCGCCATCGGATGCAAATATCTCGCAGGGAGATCGTGTACGGCGATATCCAATTTTATTTTTCGTCGCTCGTGCGCTCGAAGATCGTGATATTTTTGGGATGCTGCACAACGAGCGAGTCAAATTTGACGATAAATCAATAATAAATGGTTATATTTTTTCTAAACTCCGCGCGATTCAACGCAAGATAATTAATTCACGGCCGATTTATCGACGAAGAGCTTGTATTTATATCGGCTCGATCGATGATTAATTAATTAACCGATATACTTCATAGGTCGATGATATATTTTTTTCCAGGCACAAAGCAATCGTGTAATAATATATTTTGCGAGGCAGAAGGTCCCCCTCTCGGTTCGTATATAACACAGCGTGTGACTTTGATCTATACCGACGAAAAGCCGCAAAAATCGATCAATCCTCTCCTCTCGCCCTTCTGCCTTCTTCTTCTGCGCCCCGCGACGTGCTTTATAGCCTCAAACGCGCGCGCGTGTGTGTAGGCGCGCAGCATGAAATTTCTGGCCTCGGCGTTATATACCCGACACACAATGCCATGTCTCTAACGATCATACCTATACGGAGGTATTCGCGCCCAGCTAAATCTAAACGCGTCCGTGCTTATATGTATATATCATCGCCATAATGTACGTACGTGCTCCGGAGCACGCACGAGAGAAATAGTTATTAACATAGGCAAAATGTTTATTGTACATCACAACGTTGGAATACAGCTCGACGTTGAAAGGCGAAATGTTTATCGTGCGGGAATAATTCGTTAGCGCGATGAATACATGCTACACCGTGGCAGTTACATACGTATACGCGTAAATGTAAACATATCATGGTGTAGTACTGCAGTTACGGGGGTTTGCCCACGAGCGAACGACGACGATGATGATTTTTAGATTTGGTCGCGTTGATGGATGGAGTTTCCACACGCGTGTATATATTCACCGAGATACTTGTACGTAGCCGACGTCGATGTTCTTCTTTTTTATACGACTTGGAGATTTTTTTGCGTGTTGAACTCGATATTACATTCAAATTACAAAGTACGCGTCTATCTACTTCTGCGCGCGAATGGAAAAATTTAGCCTTTTTTTGCACGTAGTGTAATGATATACATAACATACATACGCGCGTATGCACGGGACAGCCCCGAGCAGGATAGATCGTTGCATATACTCGGCAGCTCGCTCAAATTGATACCTCGACTGCGCGTTACGCCATTATTATGTACGCGCGTTTGCCAAATGGCAAATATTTCTCGCAGTGTTCAAACAATCTAAGTGATTCGTTTCCAGTCGCCGCTCGAGATTGACCCTATCGGCCAAAACATTCTAAAACGGATCGGCACATGGTAAACGGCGTAGATTATTAGAAGAAGCCTCGTATATACAATATCGAAATCGAGTCCTCGCTACGCGAACTTAGGTCCGTCTAAAAGCTTCGTTACGTGATCGCGACGTCCTCTTTCTCATGAGATACATAAATCGGATTATACGCAGGCTAATAATTGCAGCTAAACGATATGCTGCGCTGCTGGCGGGGCCCCGGTGCTCCGTTTAAATGCGGCGCGAGATCTCTTTTTGTCTTACGTCGGCGCTGTGTGTTTGTGCAGTTGAGCCCAATGCCATACGCGTATACTACAATTCGTTTTACGTAACTTTATGCGCGCCGCCACTGCGAAACAAGCGTGTTAATTGTTATCGTGTGTGAGATATATACATATACGTATGTATACGTGTGTTATAATGCGCCTGTGGCCTCTTTTGCCTCGTTAACCAACCTGCAATTAATTACTCCTAGAGAGAGAGAGATGTGTACACATACACGCGACACTTCATCATGCACACCTGACTGTGTGTGCGGACGACGATCTTTGGGATTTGAAATTGTTATTATATGCATAGCGCCCTGGGTAAGTTCTCGCTCGCACCGAGGAAAGATATTACTTGCTTTAATGCCGCCGCGCACGGTCGAGACCCGAATTAATTATTTTTCCGCGTCTCTCTCTCTGCTGCTGTGCTGCGAAATTAATTTGGGATTCAAAAATTTAAAAATCAATTTAAAACTCTCGAACTTGCGGCATGCGAGGAACTTGATGTGCTATTAGCAGCAAACTCGAGATTACTGCCTCTCTTTATACGCTATATTTTGTCAAATATCGCGTCTGCGAACGTCTGCGAAGTTCCTATCCTTGACAATAAAATTACTGCAACAACAGCAGCAGCAGCAGCAGCAGCGAAAAAAAAAACCGGATAATGTCAAACGTTCGAGCTCGCGAAATTATGTAGTAAAAATAAATCGCAATGACTTCCACGACTGAGTGGTGGCATCTATTTTGTTTGCTTTTTTTTCGTAACGATTCCGTTACCGTGTCCCGGTAGTTGTGCATAGTGCTCTGCGCGGCGACTGCGTCGTTTACCATTCGCCCGCGTAATGTAACGAGGCTAGCCCCCTTTTGCTCTTCTCGGGGCGCTGCTGCTGGCTAAATATTCAGCGCTGCTGCGCGTGTGCTGCACCGTGCACAGGGTTTGGTCCCCGACAAAACGCACGTAATGCACAGCTAGTATACGCTGGCTTTATCGCGATTAAACGCGCGAGCATACGAAATTCTCGTACCGGAAGCGCCTGCGAGTAGAGAAAGAGAGAAAAATACAGATCCGCCTGTGCTGCGCAGTGCTGTGCTCGCCTCCCTTTTTCTCCGTATGTAAAGCGATTATTTCTGTTTCTCGCTGCGTATATACGCTTCGGGACTCTGCGAGCGTATTATTTTATACTCGAATTTGCCGAAGCAACAACAACTAACACACACAACGTGCGAAATGCTGCGTTTCGTTTTCGTCGTGAGAATTGCGAAATTTTCAAGGCGATCGGCGTATAAATACCTGCGTTTGTTATCATCGATGATGATTCCTTCGACCCATGGTAATGGCTTATAAATAAATAAAATTGCGTCATCGATGAAATGTGTAAATAATAAATTGAAAATTATAAAAACGATACGTTTTATTTATAGTAATTTTTAATAATCTTCTCCTCGTCTGTCATTTAAACTCAAAAAGTACAATGGATATCTTTGAAAAATTTTGTACATCGTGTGATATATAATCAAATATATATAATAATAATAATAATAATAATGATGAGTAAAAGATTCGCATGTGTCAGGATATCGGGAAATTTTTTCTTTCTTTCTACTTCGTCGCATTAGGGAGTGTCAGAAAACAAACGTTAAGCTTTCATTTTATTTCGATAATTATCTTATCCACAATATTCAACGAATCGATTAATCGCAAACAAATCAACAACTTGGTCGTGCAAAGACAACATTTGACTTATCTTATTAATATACTTATAGTACATATAATAATCCATTCTTATGATACATTTACAATAATAATATCGGTCACACACAGAACGAAAATACATATTTTATTTATTCTCGTATAAGGTCCGCATTGTTACGCGTGTCTATGTCTTTTCCGTCGCGCGCATAATTGCGTACACATCCATTTACGTCTTACGAATTATTATAGACTTATCCGAGTTGTGTCGTAATAAATTTATTATCGTATTGTTTTTTTTTGTTTCGTTTTTAAACGTACATTACAAAAAATTGTCTTCTTGGATTATCGTACACAAAATCCCGCACCTGAAAAGACGCGCACGCGCACGCACACATTGTTAGCATTACTTCTTTAATAATCCGCACATATAACTCTCTCTCAGTCTCACACATATCGTCGAGCGAAAAAAATATCTTTTACTCCAACGTACAATTATCGTATTCAATTATTATATTTAATATGTATAATATTCACAACTCACGCATTCATGGGCTTTGGTCACTTGTCGCTTAAACTCTACTTTCCTTCTCGTTTACATTATTATTATTATTATACTTTGTCGAGCAGTAGTGGTACTCGCGATCGTCGGCGGCGATTCAGCAGCTCGTTGCCTCGTGTCACAGTCTGTAAATTTTGGCCGCGTCAACAACGTTGGCGTCCTCGACGGACATCTGATGCTGCAGTTGCTGTATCTGCATCTGCTGCTGCTGCTGCTGCTGCTGCTGCTGCTGCTGCTGCTGCTGCTGCTGCTGCTGCTGCTGAAAGAGTAGAGTAGAGCCGCCCTGCTGATGCTGACGCTGTCGCTGCTGCCTCAATTGTCGGTCGACCGAATTTCTTTGTCGCGTGCCGGTGTGGTGTTGGTGGGCAGCAGTCACCGTACGACGGCTTCCCGCGTGGCCCAACGTGCTGGCACGCGACGCTTCTCGTTACAATTCCGTGGTGAGGGGCTCGGCCTTCTCCACGATCACGTGGAACTCGGTCTCGCGATACAGTCGGCCGTCGGGCACGACCATGGTGATGCGGCTGTCGACGGGGCCCCCGCCGCCACTTTGCTGGCCGCTCAGAGCTTCCTTCGGGTGACGATGATGATGGCCGTTGCTCGCACCACCACCACCACCACCAACAGCTTGGCTGGCGTCCTTGCCGACGACGTCCGGCGCCGTGGTCGGCACGCTGATCCAGCGCTGCTTCTGCTGGTCCTCGCGACCGCCGCGCCGCTTGCAGCAGTAGACCGTCGCGCAGCCGACTATCAGCAGCAGCAGCAGCAGGCCCGACACCGCCGAGATGAGCAGCAGCATCGAGCCGCTCAGGGCGCACTTGCGCAGCTCGTAGTCGACGAAGCTGGCCCGCTGGCCGCTCTCCCAGTCCTCGACGCAGAGAAACGTCTCGGGGTCCTCCGAGCCGGACTCCAGAGCGAAGGGAGGCGCCACTATGTTGGTGCTGTCGAGGAAGGTGATCCGCCGGGCGTGGGCGTTGGTGTAGTTGAGGATCTGGCCCTTCCAGGTGGCGAGCCGCTCGCAGTCGCAGCTCTGATTCACCAGCACGTTGCTGAGCTCCGTGTGAAAGCTCGTCCGGTCGAATATCAGCGAGCCCTCCTCGAAGTCGCCGAGGCTGTTGTTGCCGAAGGTGAGCTTGTGGAGGCTCGAGGCGCCGCCGCTCGGCTTGTTCTCCGGATCGGCGCGGATCGACAGGAAGGCGCCGAAAGCCACGCTGCCGAGGGTGTTGTTCTTGATGTGGACGGTCCGCCGGATCGTGACGTCGAAGGCCTCGGACTCGAGGCTGTCCACGTGGCTGTTGACGAGCATGAAGTTGAGGGGCTTGCGCACGATGAAGGCCGAGCTGTGCACCTGGCCCATGCGCACCCCGCTCAGCATGAACTTCTCGTAGACCTCGACGTCGTGCATCGTCCTGCTGAGCACCTGCTCCGAGCCGAAGGTGCCCCCGACGACGTGCAGATACTTGACGTCGAACTTCTTGAAGGCCTGCTGCTCGATGCGCGCCAGATGGCAATTGGTCAGGCTGATGCGCTGCGTCTCGTACAGATTGGCGAACGCGAACGACATGACGTCGTCCACGTGGACGTTCTCCAGGTCGATGGTCTCGATGTTGCCGTGGAACAGATTGCTCGGTAGCTCGGCCAAGCTCGAGTTGCGCACGGCGACGAGGACGTGCGTGGCCTTGGGCGACAGTTTCAAGCTGTGACTGAGGAGGGTGAGATTGGCCACGTTGATGAGATCGATCGAGACGAGGCCGTCCATGTGGGCCAGGCTATTGTTGGCCAGCACGACGTTCGGGCAGTTGGTGACGTTGATGCGACTCGTGTGCCTGGCCAGGGGATGCTCGCCTTCCGACGTCAGGTACAGTTCCTAGAGAGAGAAATGCAAATTTTCGGTTAATATCGCTTATTGGACACGCAATATATAGAGTCGTATGGGGGTGTGTGTGTGTGTGTGTGTGGAGCCAATTAAACGCGCTGGATCGCAAATGCTTCCGCGCACAAACTTTCATCAATTTGCTTACGCTCGCATCGTGAGGGACAATAGAGGACCACCTCTTGGGTAATAGTTTCGTATCTCACAGCGTCAAAGTCGTCATCGCACACACACGCGCGCGTCCGTTCCGAGCAAAGTTTCTTAATGCCCATCCGCCGGGCCACACCGCCTGCCTTATATATTAGTTATATGCGAAAGCGTCGGATGATTCCTCCGCATACACGTACGACGAATCGCCTCCGTACCTATATCCAATTAGAACAGTGATTTTGCTGATATTATCATTATTATCATGGTCCCGACTTCGAGCGAGCGAAGTTTTCGGGACAAACGTTGCGATCGATCGCCCCGAACGGAGTTCCGAGGCTTAAACATTTCTTTTCTCTACGTTCGACATTTTTTTTTTCTTCTCTCGCTCTCTGTCTCAGCTCGTCGATAATACCAGCTCTGGCTCTATCGGATTTTCGCACTATATAACTGCTCGCGACGACGACGAGGGATTTAACGAGCGTCAGATTTAAATAATTATAGACGAGAGAGCCGTTGGAAGGGACACGATTTTTCAGAAGCTATTAAATGTATTATCAGCTTATTTTCATATGAATAATTCAGATAACAAAGGCAGAGATCCAGCTGAGAGAGGCGTGGGGAGGTAAATCACGTGGTTACACTATATATACACACGCTAATGGTGACATCGTCTTTTTTTTTATAGGTCATTAAACCGAATGAAAGTTTTGCGCGCGAGGTCTTTTTCGAAAAAAAAAGTTGTACCTATATACAGCTAAAAGGAAATAATCTTTGTAGGTCAGTGTACCGCGTAGTACTTGGAATAATATCGAATACGTTCTTAAAACACTTTCCATGTAAGCCTATAATTTTCATTAACTGTATTGTGTATTTTGTACGTATTTGAAGGCGATGATAACATTGATATTTTCAATTAGAATGATAGCAACTTTTCCGAAAGCACGAATGAAACATACTCGCTTCCGAGGCCAATCCGCTCGCAACGAACGACAAAGTTGTTTTGCCATCGTTTATGTAAAATTGATCGTTTCCCCTCGTATCGCGTTAAACGGATACGACGACAACAGCGCGCAACAGCGCGGCTCAATCGAGATTTTACCCGAAAAACCAGAAATTATTTTTTAATTTTTTTTTTTTTTTTTTTTATCACAGCGGATAGAGAGCAGAGCATTTAGCCGCGCGCGTACCGGCTTATCGTGGATTTTCCAATTTCAGGGCGGATACTCTTTAAGCGTGCGCCGATGTATCGATAGCCATCGAGCGTAAAAAGCGACTTTTTATCGTGCTAGATGAACGTCGGGATAGCGCAGCAGCGGCGGTAGAGAGAGCGCGTTAAAAGAGCGCAGCGAGCACTCATCGATTTATATATGTATATATACGCCACTACGCGACTAAGCTCTCTTTTTATGTAACCCTATAATGTCGATCGATTCTCTCTCTCTCTCTCTCTCTCTCTACTTTAACATTTTGCCAGGAGAGTAGTTGAAATGGGTATTCGCGATGTGTGTGTATAAGCGCGCGCGCCCACGCGGTGACGAGCAGCTCGCGCCCGACGATGATATAGCCTGGCGCTGTACTGCTGCGATGGCATTGAGATTTCAAAATTGATGAGTATCGATGAGTAATTGCCACGAAATGGTTGTACGCATTTGGGACTACTTATTTTAAGGATAACACGTGCCGTGCTACTTTTCGCAACGCGAAAATACTGACGTGCCAGTATGTGTGTCGCTTATACCCTGCGAAACTGCGCGCACGAGCTGGCCTCGATTATTATTTTCCGATGTACGCTGCGCACACCAACAAAGATACATAAAAGCCCACCTTGTGCGCGATGTTCATTGATAAATTATTTCGCATTATTAAAGCCGAAGCTTCGCGGAGCTATGAGAGGCGCCGAAAACCTTGAAGAATTGCTAATAGAGAGCTACGAGAGAATTCGCAATCGAATCCCCGAGTTTAGAGCTTAGGCGGCTTAGGCCGTGAGCAAACACATGCACATAGATATAACCACTTATAGGTCAAACACGCATTGTTTGCTCTGCATTCATCGCTCGTCGCGCCGAATCAAATCGCGCAACAATTGAGCTTGACTTTTTTTTTCTTTTTTTTCAATATGTTTAACGTCGACGTAAAAAGCTGCTGGCCGAAATCATAAAAGGCGCGCGCGCGAAAGAGAGAGAATAACTCGACCAGACAACTCCATGCGTGGAGAATTTTTCATCGCAATTTTTTCGCGACGCGAAAGCAACAAAAAGTTGTCACGTTACTGATGCTATAAAAATTTTCGAAAGAAAAAGCGGCGTGGAAGTTTTCTGCATATTTTCTAAAAAGACGAAATACGATGCACAATAGCTATTACACGTGCTTTATGTCAAAGACCCATAAATTCACGCCAAAGAGCGCGAGTTGGTGGTGAGTTTTATTTAATTTTTTTTTTACAACGCGCGCACGCAGGCATGCATATAGTTCATTATGTGCAGTAAAGTTGAATTTCATTCTGCGCGTCGCGGTGTCGTCTAAACCGTGACTTTTCGAGTCCGCAGCAGCAGCAGGCAGGCAGGCACCACCGGATGGACAGGCGCGCGCGGGCAAATTTTTAACCGGTAAATAATGTTTTAATTAAAGTCTAGACTTTTTAATGAAAATAACATGCAATATTCAGCCGGAGATCAAAGTCAAAGCGCGTCGCCAACAGCAGCGCGAGGATAATCAAATTTACTTTCATTTGAAAATAAAAAATCGTTGCTCCTTTTAGCGCGCACGCGAGCGCGCGAAATTTACAACCGCGCGAAAGAGAGAGAAGTGCAGCTGGTGAAAAATCGTAATATAACAACGCGCGTATCGATCGTTTATTTAGAAAGAAGGTTCGACAGCAGCGGGGCAGCGGCGTGAGAGAGTTTTCGTTCGTACCATCCGTCCTTTTTTTTTTTTTTTTTTATTGCGTACACGAGAGCTTTTGAGCTCGATCGTTGATTTTGCCTCTGACTTTGTTTTTTCCCCACTCGCACCCAAAGGCGCGTTAAGTATTCAATCGTCGTCGAATTTTTCGCATTATAACGTCCACTTGTGCTCGGTTATAAAATGAGAGAGAGAGCGAAGAGGACCCTTATCTCAATGACAAGATGCACATTCTTTGCCGCGCACGGATCATACACTGTCATATATTACTGGCTACATAAAGTCGCGCCTACTCGTATTGTATATACGGCATATTTATTATTATTATATTATACGCCGGACGGACACTCGTGTCTAACGCATGCACAATCGTTTTATCCTCGAGAGAAGCACAAGCGCGCAAGAAGAGGCTTGTGTATTACATCTTATAAATTCGTCTATGTCATCGTTCTTTAAAAGCCTTAATAAATATTGCGAGACTCGTTGCGCCGCGCGCATTCGTATCTCGCTCTCGACTTTGAAGAGATTCGTTGCAGAATTATTATATTTTTAAAGCCGTGAGCCGTGTAGTACGAATTTATTTATACGTACACGAATCAACAACGACGCGCGCGTAACTGTTTGCTTATTAGCATATGCGAGTCGAGATTAATCAACTCAGCCAAAACAAATACTCTCGGTGGCCCCCCCCCCCTCTCGACTCTGCGGCGCGAGTAAATAGCAACAATTGAAAGCTATTCGATCGATCGACTCGTAACGACAAAGTCCGACAAATTTATTATATCGCGCGGGGCGCGCAGCTCGTAAACGATTTTAATCACTTTCTTAATCATTTCGGCACAATTCGCACGGGTAGGTTGCAGGTTGGGGTGCTATATAATAATTTTTCGACGTGTAATAATATATAAGTACTCCTCGCTTGTACGTGCGCAAAGTTTTGTGCGTTTTATATATATATCTCTCCCTCTCTCTCTGTCTCTCTTCGCGTTCTCGTAACCGTAACGCGTTAATTGGACGCGTTATTTTTCATTTTACGCTCGCACGTGCGCGCGCGCGCGCGTGTGTGTTGGTGGACATTTACGACCTCTATACGCAGGAATTGACCAGCATCGCGTCCTCGGGTCGCTGCAAGCTGGAGTTCACGATATACTCGTAATATATACTTAGCGCGAGCGCTGCGTTATCTCGAGTAGAGCATTGTTATATCATATAGAGGTCCACGAGCTTTGGAGAAAAAAAACGTCTAAATTTATTCCGCCGGCTCTCTTTATGACGTTTATACATCAAATATATACGTATAGTAAGCGACATAAATCAATAGGCTTTATATGTACAGCCGCACGGCGTCGTCGTAATAAAATCTTAGATCCCGAATCGTCGTTAACGATAGGACGTCGTTTGTCCTAGTTTTAATGGCAGCTGCGACGTCCTCGAGCTCTTCCTTTTGGCACGTGAACTGCAGGTATTATTATGCGCGCGCGGACCTATCGAGGCTTTTACACACATGCAAGAAAGCACGCGCGTCCGGAGATAACCTCGTCATCTGCAGGATCGTTAATAAATGGCCGCCGCCGCCGAAAGTGCAGCGCGTTCACCGATTGCGAGTGACATTTCATTGAAATATATTATATCGTCGAACGGGACGAAACGTAATTGTTGCGCGTACGCGTGCAGCGTGGAGGGGAAAAAACCGGTCGAATGTTTATACGAAGCCTCTCGAGCATTTATCTCGTGGTGCGCAGCTCTCTCGCAACGCCCCATTGTCCAGCGCGCCCGTGAGCGTTGTATTAACGAACTTATATATCGCTAACTTATTACCGCGTACGCAGCCGAAGATTGTTTACGTTTATTATTCGCGGGCCGTCGTAAAAAAAAAGTGTTCCGTTCGACTCGAAGATGACGTTTTCATAATTTATGCGCCTCGAGCCGAGCGTCAGCAGCGAGTCAAAGTCATCGTCGTCGATCCCCATTCAAGGGCCGTCTATATAGGAGAGGCCGATCTCCGTCGATCGGGCCGCGATCACTCATTCAATCAGTGGTCGCTCGTGCGCTGCAGTTTGTATCGTACAACAAGCAGCAGCAGCAGCAGCAGCAGCAGCCATTGAACCTATATCCTCTTATAAACTCTCCTCCCGCCTCGTAAACATAACGAGAGAGCGAGAGACGATCATTTATCGGCTGGATGTGGCTTTTACGCTCTCTGCTCTATACTCTTTCCGTGTGTGTGTGTGTGTGTGTGTGTGTGTGTGTGTGTGTAAGTGTGTTTGTGTGTGCGTATAAATACGCGTTGCGTGCAGCAGCAGCAGCAGCGGCGGTGGGCAAAGGATTGCATCTACGTGTCTCGGGCGAAAAAAAAGGGGGTCGCGGATGAATTTTTCATCCCGGAGTCGAGCGAGCGAGAGAAAAATTACCGCAGCGAGCCCGAGGAGGAGGCGTGCTATACGAGGAATACGTAAGGAGTATTTTCGGTTTACGTTTATACGTATATATATATTATTGCAGCGCTCGAGTCTGTGTGTATGCGATGCACCGTCGCGACCAGAGGTGTCTCACCTCAAAGCTTCTCGAGTGTCACGCGCGAGGTGTGTGTAGTGTTATACGTTAGGAGATTGATGACGCAGTCTCAGTTTATCATCGCAGTTATATCATGTGGTTGTGTATATTAACGCGATGATGAAAAAAAAAGAAAAGAACGTCGACTTTCGAGAGAGATTTAGTTATTATCATCATGTAGCTCGATGAATGAATCATTCGACGTTCCTTTATATTTACAATGAACTCTGCCTCCTGTATTATACGCATACATTAAAGAATACGCGCGCCGGTGACGAGAGATGGACGCAACGTTACGCGATATATATTATAACGAAGTTGTACGTACGGCGAAAAATGACGCGCCGGACGTTAAATAATAATAGTCGCGCACAAAAGACATTTGCCTCTCTCTCTCCCGGTGCCTTTTCCTATGTTTCATATATATATTATGTATCAAGTACCTAAAACTCCCTCTGTCCCTCGGAGTTCGTGGGATAGCTCTGCTGCTGCTATATACCAGAATAGCAACGCTGTGCTGCGCTGTACTGCTGGTGTACAATAGTCTCGGAGTGAAAAAAAAAAAAATAGTAGTAGTAGAAGCGGAAGCGCGACAAGAGGAATCTACACCTATATAGCTCGTGTTGAGGAACGACGTGCATGCTCATTTCTTGACAAAAAAAGAGAGACAGACAGAGAGAGAGAAGAACTTGCTACTGTGTAGCGGAGCTCCGATCTCGACCGCATATAAAAAAGGAAAAAGATCCTTCCTTTCCTCTCGTTTCTTTCTCTTCTCTAGCTAGCTCTCGTGCGTATATACTCTTTCTTTTGCGCTTCCCTCCTTTTCATTCAGATTAGCCCTATACGTACGTACGATGTATGACGAAATAATTACGCGCATAATTATATGCGAGCACATCTCTTTTTCTGCTGCCTCGCGCTTCGCCCCCCCTTCCAATTATCATCATAATCATGGTCGTCGTTGTCGTCGTTATTACCTGTGGCGAATCCTTGCAATCGCACAGCAGCCGGCCGAACTCGTCGCAGGTGCAGGGGGCCGCGATGCACTTGGTCTGGGCCAGCGCGGCGCGGCCCGTGGCCGTCATTTCCAGCGCGACGATGCAGACCAGCACCGGCCATAGTCTTGGCCAAGTCGTCGTCGCTGCTGCTGCTGCTGCTGCTCTTCGTTTTCTCATTTTTTGAACTTATCGTTCACGCTTCGTCGCAGTGATAGTTGCAGTAGCGGTAGTAGTATTGGCATTCGCTGCTCCTCATCGTTTTTCTCGCTGCTACTGCTGTTGCTGCTGCTGCTTCTTCCTCGTCGTTGTTGTGCACTCGGCCGTGGGGCATTTTTTTCTTCTTCTTCTTCTTCCTCTTTTTTCTTGTCACACGCGCGGCAGCAGCACAGAAACTATGCACGGCACACACACACTGCGGTGACACTTATTTAACGATTCTCACATGATCGACGATCACTATTTATACGATTCTTCGTTGTGCGTAGTCACGGTCGCTGCTGCTGTTGGAAGAGCGATCGCTTCACGTTGTGCCCGTTGATTTTGCAATATTTTTACCCTGAAATCACAAAATATTTTGTCGTTGATAATTGTCGTTACAAAATTTTTTACAAAATTAATTAAAAAAATAAAACAAAATAACAAATAAACTCTCTCGGATCGAAACAATAGAGCTAGACAACGACAAAAAAAAAAAAAAAAAAAAAAAACAAGAGAGAAAAAAAGCTCACGCGTTGACACGCTGCTGTTTTGTATTTTACGAGCGCGATGGGTAATTGGGTCGAAGTTCTCCGCGGCGCGCACTCAATGCTATATACTTTTGTAAAAAATTAATAGCGTGTATGGATTGTCATTGATTGACGCCCTCCCACGACGACGAGAGCCGCCTGTGCATGCACGTATGCAGCTCTCTCGTGTAGGTACCCTCTGCGAAAATATCTGCGCGCGTATTTACATTTGTTTTACACTCGATGCACTGCACACATACACACACCCGCGCTACCTACATACACGCATACGTGCATGCTTTTATCGATTGATGCCCGTGCCTCTATTTATACGTACGCCTAGCGCACATATTATGCTCGAAATTCAACTGAAATTGATATTTATAGTGTTTACGTTTTGCGCAAATTTCATATATTATGCATATAATATCGAACAAAAGAGAGAAAGAAATTATAAACAGGCGCGTTGCGTTATTCACTTCAACGAGAAAGTCAACAGATTTCTATATGACTCCGCCACGTACGCTATATGGTTTTTCTAATCCGCCGAAGAGCTACAGCGAGGGTGCGAATATTTTTTTTTCATTTCATCGATACATCGTCCATGTTTTTTTTAAAGATCGAGATAGAGAGAGAAAAGAATACAAAGTCCAGGGCTCAAAGTTTTTGTTTTTGCAATTTTTCTATCCCCACGTGCTATTATTATACGTCACGCGTTCATCAAGTTGTCATAAATACTTTTTTTCCAATAACAAACGAGCAGCACTCGTTTCATCACGAACGAGCATTACATCGCATGATTATATTATCGTGCGTATATTTTGCAATCGTCTCTCTGTCTTTGCGTGTATTATGTATTCACTTGTTATACCTGTCCACGTGTACGCATGCACACACAAGAAGAACGTGCAATAATGGAAATGCGATGCGATGTGATTATCATGGCATTGGGCGAAGCCAATACTTTGCTATATAAATGTGTGTGCGTGACAATTGTGCGTCATTTGTTTATATACACACGCCGCAATGAACTCGGACGCGTGACGAAAAAGCCTACATACAACAACGCGATGATGATTACTTTTGGTTGGGTACGATGTACAGAGTACGTACAGTCAATTGCGGATAAGGCTTGGAAATATTTCACCTTCATTTATACGTAATCGCCTCTCTGAAGTATGTTATAGTCCCTCGAAAATAAAATGTTGTATTTTCCGGAGAGTTATTCAAAAAAAAAGAAAAAAAAAGGAAAGAAGGAAAAAAAGAAAAGATAATATAACAAGGCTTCGAGTTCAAAAATTCACCGGGCGCAGAGAGAGATGTATCCTCGTACTTTTCTCTCTCTCTCTCTCAAACATGATCGAAGCTACTACTAGCTCACTCGCAAGCATATGCTTTTCTCTGTTTGAGTTAAGCTCGCTCGAACCCAAGTTCTCCAGCAGGCTGGAGGAGAGAAGGAACGTAGCTAGCTCTACGTGCTATATTTGCATTCCGAGAACTTGTGTGTGTGTGTGTGTGTATATTATAAGCCCGGCCGCGCTTTCGAGAGGGCCCTGCGTTGCCGCGTGCCTTTCCGAGAAAACTCGCGAGCGAGCTTTTTACGGATCTCGCGCGCGCGATATTATGAGCTTTCAGGCGGGTAAAAATCATCGACGTACACGAATGCGGCAAAAATCCTCCTACTCCTCGATGCGAGAGAAAAACAATCGAGCCGCAACTGCCAACGTCGTGGCATCGAGGTTGAACAAATACCTGCAAGCTATATAGACGTACGTCTGCTGCTGCACGTAATACGTAAACATGCGCGTACACTACATATACATATACTACGGCGCGTCACATTTCTCTGCCTTTCCGTTGTGTTACAGAGACGACGTCGACGACGCTATATTACAACAAGCCTCCGAGATGTTTGTGTATACACACTGCGCACTATGCATATTATAGTATACGTATATACGTATATATACTCCCGACGCACGATGCAACGTACACCGCTACTAACGTCGTCGTGGTACAGTCTGCTGTATACGCACACACTACTTTAATGCTGCAGCAGTGCAACAACTACTCGTGCGATCCTCTCGGCAACTGTAAACATCGTTATAATATCGTGCGTGAGCTACAGCGACGACTGTATGTGTGACTCGGCGCAATGCAGCTCGAGCAAATTGAGCAATCAGCTTGAAGAACTTTAGTAGAGACTCGCAGTGTGATTCGTTTCTCCGATATGTAGGCACTGTCTCTGGCACGTATTATCATAGTTTTACACGTGCTGTAACGACGGATTGTATATTGCACGCGTCCGATGATTTACTAGGTATTTTTCCTCCTTTTTTTTTTTGCGCTCTTTGCGTCGATATCGTTTTATAAATGCCACAGTGCAATTCAGCCGCGAAGTTCAAGAGCTCCGAGTTGCACAATGGTCGCGGCGCGATCGTCGAGGAAGTAAATGCCGGCGATTGAAATTGTAATGCGATGCGACGACGACGACGACGACGACGACGATTTTTATAGGTTGGCGGTGGGATATTAATTATAGAAACGATCTCCGCGTTGTATTTTGCACACACACACACAAATTAAATTCAATTAAAAGCGAATTCTATGGAGTGCGAAAAAAATACGTATTCAATCGCGAGACGCGCACCGACTCGACAGTAAGAAGTGGATAGGTCTTTTTTTTTCTCCGCTCTCGAGAGCGAGGCAACGACACAACGCGAAGCCTCCCCCCGTCGTTTACACTCATTAATTAATGAAAATCCTTACGTAAATCGGTCTCTGCCGGTGTCAGTTTTCATTTATTCCGCGCCTTTTGCCACGCATCCACTCGATCGTCGTCGATATAATAACTATACGTGTTAACGCGCTGGTAGAGGATTGGCGAATGGATCTTTTTTTAGTTATTACTCATTTCGATATATCCATCGGGATACGTTCGTTCCGTAATATCAGTTGAATGCGCGCGGGAAAGGAAATCGCTGCGTGGATATTGTCGCGCGTGAAATTTTATTGAAAATCGATAGGTATTACTTATTTGACTTGAAACTTCAATAGCTCCTCTTTTGGAATCTCTAAGTTAAATATAAAATGATTTTCTAAATTAATATTATTCATTGCTTACTAACTCGGGCGTGTTGCTAGGTGCGTTTCATATATACATTTTCCAACTCGCGTCACACAAGTATAATTTTGTCACGATGCATATAATATAAATTTCCAAAGTTAAAATTAGTTACGAATCCTCGACGCGATGGACGACTACGAGTGAGCAATTGATAAAAAATGCAAGAAAAAAAACTCGGCAAGCTCCTTACATAAATTTTATATTACGCTTCGCGAAATTTTAATATACTTTCGAGTATCACTGGTATAACATATAAGAAGATGTAGTAAGTACGTAGTTGAGCAGGATTCCTTTTTACGTATTGTGCACGCTCTTTGTCCAATGTTTGCGATGCCATTTGCCCGAGAGCGCGCCGACTTTTTTCTCTCTCTCCCTCACTCTCTTTCACTGATCGCTCGACCGACCATCGCGCGTTCCCTGAAATACTTTGACTTATTTGTCGATGAATACACTTATGGTATAACTACATGCATACAGCGAGCATCGTGTGATGGGCACACTTTTGATGGAATATTCAACGTCGATCAAGTGTTTGCTTATGTGTGTGTGTGTGTTTATGAATTGATGCACAGCTAACAAAGTTGCCTGGAAAATGTTTCACGCACGATTGTATAATTATCGTATTTTCGAAGAAAAATGGAAAAAATTTCCATTTTCCAATTCTCAAAAAAAATCGAAACTATAGTCGTCGCGTTGACCCGAATCCGAAATCGATCAAATCCTTCGGTGCCGTAACGAAAAAAGCGAAGCCGTCGGCCGGTTCGCGGATGTTTTTTCGGCCTTCTCACGTTTTTTTCTGTTTTTTTCCAGTGCTGCGAAAATTTTTTGAGCCCACAATGACACTTGTTAATAACTGCGAGAAGAAAAAAAACCAACGTGAAAAGAGACACACAGTACAGGAGAGAGAGAGAGAGAGCAGATTGTACGATGACTTTACTTTCATAATTGAGCGCGTCTAGCTTGTAACAGTCACTATACAGAACGACCAGAAGTCGCCAGGAAGTGATTAACCACTTTGCCGATATATACTCGAAGTACTTGAACTTAAAAAGTAGCCGATTAACTGTTTACGACGAAGCTCGCGATCAAGCTGTGGTGTACTACGGCACTCGCATAACATTTCGAACACTTGTTCGTTTTATTATTATTTTTTTTTTTTTTTCATTTTTTATTTCGCTTCGACGACTCGCTCGCAAAGAGCGTCTAAATATTAAAAACTGCATTTTTTCGCCCGCGCGCGGACTCGTTAAAAAAACCGCGCCATATAAGAAACGAGTCGTCGCGCAAGCTCGTTTTCGTAATCTCATGGCTTTGACGCGCGGCGTCGATTTAGCCAAGTAAAGCCTGCACGACGCGTATATAATACAAGTTTACACAAATCGCTGGAGCATCGACGCGTGGAAATTTGAATGGAATGCGCATTACGCGTAATGTCTGAGCACACACATACATTATATGTATACAACACCATTTCACGAAATCTTCAAATCGATCCGAGCGACGACCGGCACTTTTCTTCTCGGACTCTTATCTCTCTTTCTCGCTTTTCGCACTTTTCGCGCTGCTGCTGCTGCTGCTGCCGTGTCTGTGCTGCACTTATAAACGTATAAGCGCGTCGCGTCTCTGGTTATCGTCGAGCCGTGCGTGAATTCGATACCTCGGCTTGCTCAAAAGTTCTTATTTCATTCTCCGCTGCATCATTATCTATGAGGCTTTATGTACATATTTATTTACCTTTTTTTTTTACTTCGCGATTCGTTTCGTCTTCGTCTCCGGGATTTATCGCTGCTGACTGTGTGTAATATATAAAAATCGTGTACCGATGCAAAAAATATATAATATCCATTAAACACGTTTCTTCGATATCCCATGATACACTTTTACTTTATTTTTTTCGAATACTTTTCCGCGCGCTACTACACTATAAACGCGACGCGTAATATCGTGTTTTCGCGCTCGCGATGTCAAAGTGTAATTGAAGTTCCAGAAAACGTTATCTTTAAAGCTTTTCTCTCCGGCCCCGGTGAAAGAAACGCTTTATATTGGCCCGTTCATTGAAAATAGCTCGATGCGCGCGAGTCACTTGCTCGGCATAGCAGCACTTCCAAGGTTATATAGCCAGCCGCGTCGTCGCCGAGAAACGCAGACGCGCTGCATAGCATTCCCATCTGTCAATCGAGTCTACTTAAAGAAAAACACGCGAAAACACGTAGTTCAATTCAATTGGCTCTCACGGCTGTGCTGCAAGCTCATGCTCAGTTTGTATATATATAGTTATATAAACGGCCGCGCGCATGCATATTCAATTATCACCGGTGCAAAATTAAAAAGTTCGCATTATATATATACGGTCGTGCACAGTTTGGCCGCACGCTCGAAACTGGCAGCTATTGTTTGCGTTCAAGCGCGCGCATGCAGTTCTCGCTGCTGCTCATTGTATTATTAAGTCCTTTCTTTTTGCCCTGCGCGCGCGTTTCTGCCTCTCGGTTGCGCCTCCTCCTTACGTACGCGAGCGCTTGTATCCGACTTCTTTTTTTTTCTCTCTCTACTCTTCTTTTTCTTGGCGTTCAGCGCTCGACGCTTAATTCCAGTGCTCCTCCTCGGCTGCGGTGCCGCCCGAGCGACATGGGTAAAATAACAGTAATCGTTTCGGTGCAGCAGCAGCAGCAGGTTTTCGTATCGCGCCCTTCGCATCTTTATAATATAACATCGTCTGTCGCCTATATTTAGCTCCTTTTTTTTTAAGCTTCTTCGTTAACTCCCGTCTCGTGTATTATATATATTTAAATTATTATGCAATGATTGCAGTATTACGCGATGATCGTTCAAACTCGTTTCTCCTCGCGTACGTTGCAGCAGCATGATCGAAGTGATTTTTTTTTTCTCTTCAATTTCTATATAATTTGACACGCGTTGCATACGTGCGTATGTGTATATATGCAGCAGCGCAGTCGATTGCAATTTCCAATTTTACCGGTTTACAGGATAATGCATTGTTATCGTTCGTTGATTTGCCTGATTAATTAAGAGCACCTTTTTTTCCGTAAATTGAACGAAACAACAGCTGCTGCTACTCGTTGAAGTCAGTAAATTATAAACCTAAGCTGTACATTTTTACAAACCTCAACGATAATTTTTATTAACTTGAATAAAAATTAGCTCCTATTAAAATGATTAACGAACTAACGAACTAAGCGTTTTCAAAAGGACAATTATAGCCGACGAAAAAATTGTTCAGACCTGCTGTTGCATCTATACCGTTTAACGACGTCACACATTCCAAGTATTTCGTCTCTCTCTCTCTCTCTCTCTCGATATATTTTGGCGCTGGTAGTAAAATACACAGGTACGCACCGGACCGCGTGCGCCTGTCTCGACTCCTACCTATTCTTTTTGCGTTACGCTCAGACAAACGCCAGCTGCTTTTACATACACGAGGCGCGTGTCAAGCTCGCGAGGATTCCCGATCGATCCACTTAACTCGCGCCGCCAAACGGGAAAGAGAGATAAATGCATCGCATTTTCGCGACCGTATATAGAGGTGTATACTACAGGATGAAGATGTATGGATACTCTTAATTCGAAGCGCGCGCGCGCCAAGGTGTGTAATTTCTTCGCAGCGAAATATGTGGATTTTTTTTTTTTTTTTTTTTCATTTAAATGCTGAGAGAGATGGTCGGGAGTTTGGCATTTTCGAAATTAATTGCTTCTACGCGTAATGGATCATTGAGCTAGCGGGTACGACGACGATCGCCATTTGAAATATTCATCGGTTTCGCGGTTATATATTATACAGTATACATCGCGTCGAATGGCGCACGGTTAATAATAAGTGAGTTAATTATCGCTGTGTTTGAATAGAGCCACGTGGCCTGGAAAATATTCACTAGGATACGAAAGAGAGGAGAAATATAGAGAGAAAAAGAGAGAGACAGAGAAAAAAAAATTATATCTCTCTTCGCGTACATATGCAATGGCATATACACAAATGTGTATATTTCGCGAAATGACAATACGCGAATTGTTTTTACATTCCGTACGCGCGAGCTTCTGCTGTTATCAAGCGTTGAAGAGCTTCCGTTGTATGAACTTTGCGCGAGCGAATATATTTTCAATGATCAATTTTATTGTTATTTTTATCATTATATTTATTATTATTGCGCGTGTGTGCGCAAAATTTATTTCAATTGAAAAGCAAAATAAAATATCGAGAGAAAATTATTGAACGACACTACGCGCGCTTATAAGCAGTCGATGGAAAATTAACGATCGATTTTGCTAATTTTTTCATTTTTCATCGAGTCTTTCGAGAGAGAATCCGAGCTCTCGCGAATTTATAATACATATGCCCAATCGAAAATAATTTGCCTAATTGATGATTGGGATTCGTATGAAGAGTATATTTATTTTACCGACCTCGATCGCTCGCGAAATAAACGGTTCAATAACCTGCGCCGCGTATACATAAGGCAGTTTTTGAAGCGATTAGAAAACACGACGACTGTCGCGCACATTGCGCATACGAGATTATCTCGTTTTGAGATTTTAGGACATTTTTTCGAAAATAAAAGGCCATCGATCGAGTGAATTCACCAAACAATAGTGCGTCGATTAAGATCGAAAGAGAAAAATTAAAAAAAAAAGAGGTTGCTCGAGGTGAACAATCTAGGGAATGAGTCAGAAGAGTGGCAGGGACCGATAACGATACGAAAATACGACACCCAATCGCGATAGCATAGTTAAAATAATAATAAGTCCAAAGTACAACTCGAAACTTCCTTTAACGTCACGACGAGGTTATGTGTAAAAGAAAAACAATGAAAAAATGTGCAAGACTATACGCTCGACGACGAAGCGCAGACATGTGTTTACACACTCCGTCACGAGAATGCAGAGTACGAGGTGCAGATGTGTGTATAATTTTTCGCACGTGTGCACGTCGCGAACGGCTAGTCCGTCGCGCGCATTATTACGTATTCTTATAGCGCAGCAGTATTCGATGCGAAGTGCAGCTTTATACTCACTCCCGAGGTTCGATACTACAAGTGTTTAATTACGTACACTGTGGCTTCGATGCTGCAGCAGCAGCAGCTTTTCTAAGCAGTTTTAATTTTAAACTAACTAACTATAAGCTGTTTATAAACGCCGACCATAAGCGATTCGAAAGTGTATTTTGAAAATCAAGAGCTCTGCTGCGGAGTGACGTTAATCCGTTTTTAGGTATTCCACGAGTTTAAAGCGTTTGTCTATATGTGATGTACGGTGCGTTTCCTGTCTCCGTCAGTCGTCGTTGTCGTCGTCGTTGTCGTCGTCGTTGTCGTCGCCGTAAAAAAGTCCGAAGAAACTTAATCTCGTAAATTGACAACTGACGAAATGACTAAGCAGCAGCACGTCGAGCAATACGTACAACGTACGCCGAGAGACTCCTTTTGTCGCGGAGCTCATGCTCGAATAATATAATCAAGCGGTGTGTAGAAGGTAACTCGATACGAGAAACGTGTGGACGTATGCGAGAGAGTCGCTTGTGCGCTGTTAACAGTTGATAAGGCGACGTTTATGACTTTCGCCACTTTCGGGCCTAATAATAATAATGATATTCTCGACTGGCAGTGACGTCGAGATTTTGAAACGAAATAACACTGAATCTTCGCTATTTTCCTTCATCCAGTGAAGTGAGATTCGTGCGTGCGTGAAGCAGAAAAAAAAACGATTCATACATATTCATGTGTGTTTGACTATCGATCGATGCCGTCGCTGCTGTGGACAAAATTAACACAAGAAGACGAAACAGAAACAAAAACGAAACACAACAACGCAACGATCTTGAGTATGCAACAATTATGCGTTGCAATTTTCTTTTTCCTTTTTTCGACACTTTCACTGAGACAAGTAACACACTTTTTTTTATATACCTTTGTTAATAAATTTACAAATCGGCGATAAGGTTATTTCTCTCCTGTCGATAAGCGAACTCGTGCGTCGTACGATAAGAGCGCGCCGGTTCGAGAGAGGTGTGCGCGGCTGGAATATTTTTTCGTTGTAACAATAAAAGTTAAATAGCAGAGACAGAGAGAGAGAGCTGTGCGTCGCGCGACGCGCCGACAGCGACTGGCTGGTGGCCTCAAGCGCGCCTTTCGAATTCGCGCCGATCTCCCGACGATTCCCCACTACTTCTCTCGCTGTCTGCGCGCTCGCAGAACCAAGCGCGACTCACACATACACGCGCGATACTGCTGCTGGCACACATTATATATAGGTATAGTATATAGGTACACAGTTGGGCGGAGACGTTGCCTGCACTCCGCTGCTGCGCGGGTGGACGCGAGCGGTCCGAGTTTATGCGAGTTTATGTAATAATAATATGATTCAGAGCTTCAGCGAGATTTGCGAAGGTGTTGGCGAAGGATAACTACGATGTGATTTCGTGGATTCGCTCGCTCTCGACTTCGGTATATACGTAATTGTACACACGAGTTGAAAGTATATACAAAAAATGATTAGTCCGAAGAGCCGCCGCTGCCGCGCGTGCGAGTTAAAAAAGCCCGCGCGTGAGAGGATTGGAGTGTTGTCGTTTCCTCGAGAAGGTTTCACGTCGAGTGGTCAGCAGCGGCAGCAGCTCTCTGCCTAGTCATGCGTCGAGATTCGGGTTTTCGGAAATTGCTCAAAGCGCGCGTGTAATTATAATTATATATAGCAGGTCACTCGATATACAGGTCGTCGTTGGCGCGCACGACGTTTGTATTATTTGTCCAAGTTCGGCCCGGAACCGAGGAATTATGAAAGAGGAAAAAACACACACGTGTGTGCGCGTACTTGTTGTATAGTAAAACCCAAAAGTCTGCGGCTCGCAATAAGGTACTGCATGACACGCAAAACATCTTATCTCGCGCGGCGCCCAACAAATTTGACTCATATATACACAGCAGCAGCAGCAGCAGCAGCATGTAAAATATAAATGCGTGTGTCTGTGTAGCAAGCGCTTGCGTTACGTATTATCGTAATGTTACACAGTCGAAACTTTTGATTCGCACCGCTGACCCACATCTCTCAATATTTCCAAAAGTTAAACTTTGAGCTAGCAAAAGAAAAAAAAAACAAAATGTTGAGTTTTTCGAGTACTATACGTGCTCTGCTGCTGCTACTGCTGCGCGCATGAGAGAGCTCATATATTTATAACGCGCATACGCATGCAAATTCTGACAAAATCAAAAGCTCGACTGCTTCTTTCCCTTCCTATTCTTTTTTTTTGTTCTTTTTTTTGCCGTTGCCAGCTTCGTCCGCGCGTAAGATTATAATGGAAAAACTCGTGACTGTTATATGCGTCACGCCCCTACCACTGCACGGAGAGAGAAACGAATTTCCTACTCTTCTTTCTCTCTGTGGGCTTCCCTCTTTTTTTCCTCCAAACCTTCTTCTGAAGTTCGCCAGAGAGAAAAAGGAGTGAAAAAATATAAGATGACGATAAAATATATGATGCGCTGCGGAGCTCGCATATGCATGCACAGCAGCCGTGTGCAGTAGCTGCAGCCACTCGAACGTCTTACCCTTGTACCCACCCCATGTATAACACACGCACAAACTCGCGGGCGGTAAATGGTCATTCTGGATGAAATAATGCTTACTCTCTTGAAAAAGGAAAGGAGCATACTGCACAGTACTTAGGAAAATAGTCTCATCATTCTTTCGACTCGTTGAGCTTATACCGAGTGTGTGTGTGTGTGTGTGTGTGTGTGTGTGTGTGTGGGTGTGTGGGTGTGCAGTTACGCCCGCAAATATATAATGCATGCTCGTTGATAAGTTTTTGAAAATTATCCGCGCGACGCAACAAGGAGACGACGTACTGCATATAAATATCTCACTTTCGTGAAATAGCCCACAAACTTTTTTTCTGAGAATTTCGTCGCGACTATCTATACGCAATAACACATAGAGGTACTTCTTATCCGTACAATCAAAGCCTCTAAAAATTCACGAAATTATGTAGCGATTATTTTCTACGATTCTCGGTAAATAGGAGTTGAACCAGAGAATGTATTCCTGTGGTCAAAAAATTTGTAAACAAGCTACACACGGGTTTGTATATCTCTGTGCAAATACACTGCGAGTTATCTGGCTTCATTTTCAGCTCCTCTCGCAGGTGTGTGCGTGTGTGTGTGTGTGTGTCTATCCACATGACAGACACGATATCTCACCTACTTTTGCAGCCGTGGTTCACGCGCGCAATCCTACATTCATGCACGATGTAGCTTTTATAGAGGTATTTTTTTTTTTTTGGTTCCATACACCGTGCATACGATATTATGTGCTAGTGCATAAAGCAGCGGCACATGCGCACGCACGCACCGAACTAACCCGTCGCGTTATATCCATAGTACAGTTCAGCTATATACGCGAGCGGCTGCGGCAACTGCAATAGTATTGCCGGCGCGCGCGAAACTTCTTATCGGTCGCGGCGATAAGGCGTGGCGCGTATAATACTCGGCGAGCTGTGCGCGGTGCGGTGCGGAGATTGAAGCTTTAGGCCTCTGCACTCGCGTAAATGCATGCATAAATCACGTAGGTCGCTCTCCGTGCGAGTGCGTCTTTGTGTGTGCATGCTATACCTTCGATTTCCTAAGCCCCTGCGGCGTGTCAGCAACTTTGACTGTCTTTATCTAGTTATATATATGTATAATATATATTTTTTTTTTGCTGGGCTGTAAGGGGATATACGTGTAACCGATAAAGAAGTAGGTGCGCACAGACGCAGACAGACAGACAGACAGACAGACACGTGTGTACGCATTTAACATATGTATACACGAATTCGACAGGTATATTCACCGAAATCGGATTTTTTATCGCTTGAAAAACTCGGTGCGCGCATTAGATGTATATGATCCAATGCTTTTTATAACATTGTCGCGGGTTACATGTTTGAAATATAGTACGAAATGTTCCGCCTTTTTTTCTCTTTCTCTCAACACAGTACCAAAACAACAGCAGTTACACAATGAACAACCCTTTGCTACTCTCGCTCTCTCTCTTTCTCTCTCAGATCTCAATTTTGAAATAACATTTGCGTATCTACGCTATGGCTCGTCGTCTCACCTGCGTGCGTGTAAAACGCTCGCAATTTTCTCGCCACGCGCGTCGTCGTCGTCGTCTTCCTTAGCTCGCCCCCGCTTGTAACGGTACATCTTATACTCCATCTCCTGTACGTGGCGCACACGTCTATTACGTATATACACAGCAGCTCTCGCGTGCTGTGCACCGCAGCTATATATATTCGAATAATGTCAAGCAATGAGAAGGGGATGCGCGTTAAATTTGCATACCATGCACGCAGGTGATATACACAGTTGTGTTGCGCGCACCTAAGAGGTGCAGCCGCCGCCGCCGCCGCCATCAGTACCGCCGTTGCGATGTTATACGCGTACATCCGAAAACAGGTGCGCAACTACACCGAGAGCTCCTATATAGCCGAACGAGTATTATACTATCTTCATGGGCTTGAGCATTTTTGAGTATCGTTCAATTTGTCGCTTAAACGGTAATTTCGAGCGCGATAGATATTTTTTTTCCCAGCTTGTACTCGCGCGTTTTATTTTTTGCGCGGAGAGTATACGAGGCCGATGTACGTTAATGTTGAATCATCGCGTGTATATCGTGGACACAATTTTTAATTAAAAATCTAACTCGCGCTGCTCTTACTCGGCCTGCACTTAGCATTTCTCAATCGGCGCACTCGATCTGCAAATGCTGCAGCTGACGCGCGTCTCGGAGCTTGCCTCGTCGCAAGAAATTTCTAAACGAACCTTTAAGACGACGACGACATCGTGTGTCGTACGCAATCGCTTCACACGTATAGTCATCGTCCTCGCCCGAATGAGAATCTCATCTTCGTTTCTCGCATAGTTGAAATCATTCTATGAATTCTCCAGACACGTCGCATAACCGCATTAAGGGCCCGCTTGGTCCTTGGACCTGGCTGCAGGAAGTGAGAGAGAGTGAGAGAGATGAGAGAGATTAATTGATCGCGAAATAGTTTTGTTGCTTGTGCTCGCGGCCGGCCACGCGCGCCCACCTACCTGCACAATGATAGTTGCAATCCCTCTTGGCTCTCTCTCTCTCATCCATTTGCTAGCCGCCCTTTATACAACTTCTGTGTAGTAGTCCACGCCGCGGTATAGTATATATACACACGCTGTTGGTAGCTCTGCTCGTGTCCTCGAGGGACATTAGACCGCCGCCGCCGTCGCCTCTGCCATCACCTCTCTCCGCTGCTGCTGCTGCTGCCAAGCCGTGGAGATTCATTCGCGCTCTCTGCATTTTACACACAAGCTAGCTGGCCTGGTCATAATAAATGCATATTATGATCGTCGCGTCGTGTCTGATGCCTCGCTCGAGCTGATGCATTGCTCCTTGTATTTTTCCGCTCGCTGTGAAATATTAGGCACGCCGGCTCGTTACATCATCTCTATGCTGCAGTGGTGGCCTTGCCGCTGCAGTATAGCGCGAGATTAGAATTCGAGTCGCGCGAATTTTGCCGAACTTCGCTATGGGGGATTGTTAATGTACAATCAGAAAGCTTTGAGCCCATAGTGTAATTTAAAGTTTCAACAAATAATTATATTCGCCTGCGTTTCGAATGAGTTTTTAAATAAATTACGTATAGCCGGCGTCGCCGCGAGTTTCGACAACTTTTGACGTTAAAATTTATATATACGATTAAATCGTAAAATTTTACTGGAATTTAGCGCAGTATTAAGGCGCGCGGCGAGTACCTTTTGATCACTTTGTGCCTGTGGAGGTAGCTGGGTGGCTGGCTGACTGCTGCTGCGCGGGTGGGATTGGTCACAAAATATTAATGTAAAAATAAAACGAGACAATTTAACGTTACACCTTGCCGGAGCTGATCCGCGTTGCAGCTCGCCCATTAAGAGCAGCTGTTGTGTGTTCGGCGCGCGCTAACCCATGCCCTCGCGCTACGTTTCGTTCGCATGATAATAGTCGTCGCGCTTGTGTATCCAAGACATTAGGAAAAGAAAATAATAAGGCAACGTTATGGATTATGGCCTCGCTAATGAAAACATGTTAATCCCTTTATTTCTGT